TCCACAGACCATGGCCTTTAGGGTTCTTCAGGGTTGACACAGTCACCATGCAACTGAAGTGCAAGGGCTCAGAGGAGGGAGCTAGCCAAGCCGCTCCAGTACCTCAGCCAACGCCCTCCACCATCATATCCAGTGCGGAAATGGTGGGAAGTGACCACCCCACCAGCCTCCTCCCCCAGAGCCAAGAATGGGGACAACAGAGAGGACAAAGGTGGAAGTGGATAGAGGAGACGTGAGACACAAAAGAGAGAGGAAAGAACCTCTTAAAGTTCATTTTTAAGATTAATCAGCAAATTGAAAATATGAGAAGCATTCCAACCTTTAGAAATAGAATAAAAGAGGAAGTACTGGACCACACTCTAACCAAACTATGAACTTCAGCAATTTCGAGACAAGGGGATGGCATTTTTTAACCAAAAAGGTATAAAATTACCCGAGTACTGCCAGAGTGATCATGTGTAATCCTTATGTGCACACACGTTTCGTGGACTAAATCCCAAAATCCTCATCTTCAGATCTTGTAAAAAAAAAAAAAAAAAATATTAATAAAACCGTCGCTTTGAAAAGGTTGTCAAAAGTTTAAATAAGGAACACAGACATATACTATATACAAATGGAGACATTTACACGATAAAAAACGAGTAGGCCTACAGACAAAATTTCACAATATCCAACCGTGTGCCCACAGTTACAGGTTAAGGTCATGACTCTCGGCTGCTTGTTCAACAGCTGTTCTTGGTTCTTTATTATCGTACAATGCATGAGATTGGAAATTGATTTTCTCGTTAAATAATGTGTTAGGTTGAATTTTGGATATTTTATAATGATATATCGAATCCTCTAAAGCGTCCATAACGTTTAGCCCAGTCAATATAGGTTTTGTGTGGGAAGTAATTCTCGGAAAGCTGGATTTTTCTATGCTGTTAGACCATGTTGAGATATGTATTTTCCCAAATGTCCCCGCTTCTCCTCCTTGTGCTTTCTTCTCACCCCCTTCTTAAAAACTGGTTAAGATAGCACTACAATTTTTTATTAATAATTTTTGCAATAAGATTTCCTAAAAAAAATTCATTACCATGTCAGCCTTAATATTCAAAGTTTTTCGTTAAAAAAAGTAACACAAACATAAAAAACTAATTTTACAGTTTAAATTTTTGGAACTTTCCTTTGTAGTTTTTTTATAATGAGGTCGTAGGACAAAATGTTTTGAGTAAAACTGGTAGTATATAATTTAAGTTTTAAAATGGTATATAGTTACTACTATTAAGTTTGCTTATAGTGTTTAAAACAAATAGTACAGTAAATGGATTTCACAGGACTCGGGGTTTTTATGCGTATCACCATAACAATTTAATCAATTTGTGTATATGGTTGTTGTATTTGCAGCTTCATGTAGAACATATTAAATGTTCTGTAATAATTTAATCCACATACAGACTGTTGTAAATACCAATAAATAACTAATAACTCTGACTTTTATTCTACAAGTTATTATAACAAATAATTAATTTGTAGAATAAAAGTAAGAGTTACCATAAAACATTAATAATGACAAAACGATGAAATAATTGAATAACGTTGTATTTTAATCACAGTATACTTAAGTATGTTATCGATCGATAGAGTATAGTATAATGTATTATAACCTATCATATTTTTTCTTCTAGTCATCATACTCGTCATGGTATTGCAACAGATCAGTATATGATAGCCTGTTCACAAATGGACAAACATGTAAATGCGAGATTTACTCGGTCACAATAATTTTGTAACTAACTTTGCAAGAACTCTAAAGAGATTTTGATGACATGCTTCTGATGTTGGGGTAACTTATATAATTCAAAATCCGACTTTATAGAAGACTTTTTAGTTATTATTGTAAAGCTAAAATACCACGCTTCATCAAAGTTAGAATCTTACTCAGCTCATACATGAATGGAACAAACCTTTCTCTATTCAAGGCTATATGATGTCTTTGGAAGAACTTTGATTTAAGAACAGTTCTGCTGCATGCCTTGCCTCTCCATTGAATTTTTTTTTATGAACTTGATTGTTTTATTTTTCCAATTTTTAAGGCAAAAGTGCCGTTACATAATGTATTTTAGTAGAGAGTAAAAAAGAGGAGTTTCCTCAGATTTTGCGGAAATCCCCTGGAGAACAAACATAAACATCCGTACGTCAAAATCCGGTAATCTCCGGGGAAATGCCAATCCTACAAAAAACAGAGTTTGTATCACAATTAGTCATGGCTTGTGCAAACAAAATGAATCCATCTACATTTTAGTACAATGCTTTTCAGTTTGATTATGACGTAGCAAATGAAATAATTAATGTATACTTTCCTTCAACATCTTTAAAGTAAATGGACTTTATATTGGGTAACACAAGGATAAAAAAGTATTGAAATGTCCATTCCAACAACAACAATTATTCTGAATAACGAGTAAAGTGCTTTCCATGATTTACAATTTCAGTGTCTGCAACATCAAAATGTCTAAAGGATTTAATACCATAATTGTCTAGTTACATATATACTCAATTCATTTAACTTCAGCAAGCTCAATCTCACAGGAAAGGTATAAAAAAAAAAAAAAAACTCGTATGTTTTTTGTCAATTGTTGTTGCCTCTGGGTAACTACAAAACATACAGTGTGTAAATTAAGTATTGAAACAAATCTGTATTTTTAAAACCGAAATAGATAGAAACATTCTGTTTGTGGCAATAACTGTAAACAAAGGTTCCGCAATTGTTTACATCAAAAATACTTTTTAACCCCCCTAACAGGGTAGTGGGTGACTCATTTTTTCAAATAGCAACCCCTATTGAGTGACCCCTCATTTTGAAGGATTTGTCAAAAGAAACACAATAAAGCAAACCCGAGGTGGATATCTCACCCCTAGCCAAAATGGCAGGCATTACAAAATTTGATTTACTGTATGTGAAAAAGCAACAATTTCACAAATAATGGAGAGAAATCTGTATTTTTAAAACTGAAATAGATAGAACTATTCTGTATGTGGAACTGATTGTTAACATAGGTTCCACAATTTTTTACATCAACAATATTTTTTCAACCCCTTTAACAGGGTAGAGGGTGGGGGTGAGTTATTTTTTCAATAACAACCCCTATTGAGTTGTTTGTGCTACTTTTTATACGAAACTATGAATATTAAGGCTGACATGGTAATGGAATTTTTCGTAGGAAATCTTATTGCAAAAATTTTTAACAAAAGATTGTAGTGTTATCTACCTATTTTTAAGATACATCTTATTTTCTAAGATACTGTAAATTTATCTAAAAGGGGGGGGGGGAGAAGCGGGGACTTTTGGGAAAATACACATCTCACCATGTTGAGATGTGTATTTTCCCAAAAGTTCCCGCTTGTTTTCCTAACAGCATAGAAAAATAAAGCTTTCACAGGATTATTTCTGACATCTGCCTTATTTGTATGTTCATTGACTGGGCAAATTGCCTTCATTGCAGAAATCTAGGGGGTTAAAATTTGTGTCAAAATTTAGCAGTACTCAGGTAATGTTAAACCATTTATAGTTTGCATCAGTGATTCGGAGACAAAACAACTTAATCATGAAGTATTGCTGTCACACCACAAGTTTACTGTAAGTGTGTTCGCTGTTTCAGGTTAAGTGTCAGAAAAGGGCCATGTGGCCCTAACTTCGCCTGAATAAATAATGCATTTTCCATTTCATTTCATTAATTTTCACCACAAACCACAGGTTTGGCATGACAGCATGGCTGGAAATAATCATGTTAGGGCTCCCTAAAATCATACTGGGTGGGTTATATAGGGGATCACTTTATTACAAATTGTGAGAGAAAGCAAAAAAAAAAAAAAAAAAAAAAAAAAAAAAACACAATGACAATAGACAGTTTAGAAGAGAAGGCTGAATCTCTAAGTAGAACCATCAGTAGGGCCTATGAAGACAACTTTCCTCTCAAAATAAAATTTACCACCAGAGATGTGGCCTGGTATAAAGAGAAGCTGAGAGTAAAATTAATTAAACTATTTTAATACCATACTCTCTCTCTTTCTCAATTGAGTTCTCTGACTCTTCAAGTGCTATGATTACTCTCATTCTGTTTCAACTTAACTCAGGAAACTATACAGAATACACCAAGGGCGGAATAATCAAGGGAAGCTTGACCTCGAGTATGAAGACTCTGGACACCTGGCTGAGCATTAAAGGGTTGTAAGCTCCAGAAACTCTTCAACACACCAAAAGAACAAGGGAATAGGCAAATTGCTCAGAGCCCCGACGGAGTAAAAGCCAGAAATCAAATCCAAAAGGAAGACTTCGAAGCTCTTACCCAAGGAGATAAATAACCTACCAGAAGTGGATAGGCAAAGAATTAGAAAAAGTTCCCCAAAGAAAAGCACCAAATACTTTGGGGTGTTTCATACAGGAGGATTGGGAGTGCACCCTGTATGAAAGAGATCCTAAGGGTCCTCCTAACAACCCGCTTCCCAGGGAATATGCCGCTGGATGGGATGGCGGAGTATTTTCACAAAGGAAACCCCTTAGAAAAATGCAACAACCTGTCAGAGAGAGGCACATAAGCACTGTGGAGAACCTGACTAAGATGTCAGTTGGATTCTTCGAGGGCGCTATATGAAGGACTTGGGAGGTATTGGCCCGCGCCTTCTATACAAGATAAAGATAAGATAACCCAGTATAAGAATGGACATTAATGATACATTTTAAGTGGAGGCATTGGGACACAAAACCTCAACTATACTGCCTTGGATACTTTATTTATTTTAGCACACTTCCTCTGGGAACGGGGTATGAAATCCGAAACTCTACACCAGGCAAATCTGTCTTTCCAGCCTTGTGTGTCTGAGTTGCCTTAAGGTGTTTTAGCACGTGTCAGGTGACTATTAACTGTACAAACCTACTCATCAGATTCACCTTTAGTGGAAGACATAAGGAATTGAATAACAAGTAAAAAAAAAAAACTACAGTAATATAACATCTCAAACATTGGCACATTTTATTTGTAATAAAATAAACAATTTTATTTACAGATCCACAAACAAATTCTTTTACAAAAATATTACACTTAGCTGCCTCATATCATAAATTGTATTAAATTTGTCTTTGAATGATAAACATTCAAAATAAATCACTAACAGCACCACATTTCATTTAAATATAAACAAACCTTAAAATACTGGTCTGACCAAACGTTTAGGCATTCAATAAAATTTTTAAAAAGTGGTACTATAAAATCTAAACACATTATATGTACATAGGTACACACAATTTTAATGTACATAGGTTTTTATGTACAAATGTACACAATTTCCGTATATAACTCTACTTAAAATAGCAAATAATTCTAAAAAAGCGCCATTAGAAATTGTCATGAGCCAAGAACTACTTCCATAGTTCAAATTTTCAACCCTTTAATGAATTACACATCTTTTATTCTTTTACTGGAATAAAAAAAAACTGCTATGTCCCCTGAATTTAAAATCAAAATCCCTACTAAAACTTCTATTTAAATCACATTATTTAAATGGCAACAACCGCTTACTTACTCATTCACTGATCATTGATCATTATACCTCAAAAAGGTAAGATGCAAGACTCGTAATGAAACCCGACATTTGCAAAATGTTTTTCAATGAGTAATATTTAGAATTTATTGAAAATTAGCATACATTGAATTTGAATCAAAATCAATTGTGAAACATTACAAAATAAATATTAGGGACGGGTAAAACACATAAAAGTACATCCTATCCAACAGAGTCCATATTTTGAGAAGACTAGTTTCTCATTTTAAATTGACTAAAACTAAGATGGTAGAGGACCTACAGGAAACTAAGACTGTATACACCTCCGTTGAAATTAATATTTGGATAAGTACCTGCATTGCGATAGAATCACACACTTTAACATCACTATCATTAGTGATGTGTCAACACAGAATTTCAAATCTCAAAATCACAAAAATGTTAGAAAAGTTTAACATATGGATTCATATAGATATTTATTGATTTCAACTAAGAATCAAGAATAAAGAATCAAGATTTTTTTTGTCATACAAATTTTATTCAGCACTAATTTATATCTTATTCATAATATTATGTTAGTGTCAAGATATTAATTTATTTTAGTGTTTCTTGTTCAAAACTATGTTCTTAAAAATCTTATGTTTTTCTAATGTTTAAAGTGCATTAGCCATATATTAATGCTATTATGTTAGAGTTAAAGTCAAATTTCTTTAAGTTTTGATTACCTTATGGTATTGGTATTATAATAAACATGTGATCACTTGTATTTTGTGTAACCTTGACCAGACAAAGGTTGTAAATTGATAATTAACAAGTAAAAAAGTTTTGCACTTAAGTTACAAGCTTTGAAGTTATACTTCAAATTTTCAAGCTTTGGTTTGGGTTTTGAGATTTTAAATTTCTGGTTTTGACCATCACTTATTATTCATTATCACTAACTATCATCTGCACATTACTTCATAGCACCAATACTAACTACACATTCTATAGTTTCTTTAAGGAGTCCAATTTGACGCCTAAATCCATGATCCTATTCTGCGCCTCCACAATGTTTTTATTCCTGAAACAGTTTCAAGAAATTAGACAAATTAATTTAGAACTAGATACTTATCACAAAAATTACGAATAGCCAATTTTACTTTATGATGAGCCTATTTTTATTATCTGAACTTCCCCGTGAATGATCAGATACTAAATCAGATGCTATTTCCACATGGTATGAATGTACACTGTACCGGTTGCACAGTCACACTCGGAATATACGTGTCAGGATTAAATTTCCTGAACTTGACAAATGAAAAATTAAGACATAAATTAAGGCTAGACTTCTTGCCTTTGAATTCTTCAGATACTACATACCAACCAGGGGTGCCTGGAGGGGGGTCGGATAGCGGTGCACTTGTGTCTATGGGAATTTCGGGAGTGGGTTTATTTTACATATTGATTGCCAATGATCATTTACAAGGTTTTTTATCAGCAGCAATTTTTTTGTTTATTTCAAAATTGCTATTATCATTTGCAAAACAATTATGGCTATTCATACAATGTATAAGATGTCTTCAAAATGAGAACAAGGACCCGTGACTGAGACTAGAAACTCATTGTTTTACAATAGGCAACAAGCTAGCCACACCCCGGCCTCCTACACCACATGTAATAGACTTTAGGTTTTTCCACGAATACTAGAATAAAATCCGTTATGGGTCATAAACATAAACAAATGATGTTGGCTCGAATCCTATACTAATAAAATTAACATATGTTTTTGCAGTTCCATTTAAGCAATGTTAAAAAACAGCAGCTCAAATGAGCAAAAATCGAAGTCGGAAAAGGAGTGGAGCCCTTTTGGGCGTAGCTCCAAGGTCAAGAGGTCGCCACCAGCGAACAACGTTAAGGCAACTCCACCACCTGCAACCTTTAAGGGCTCAAATGAGTTCCCCCCACTAAGATCTCCTTTGACAAGTGGAGAAGGAAAAGTAGACGTTGAACCGGCGTTGACGGGAACCCTCCTGGAAAGTACAGCGCCGAAAATCAGCCCCCAGAGGTCGGATCCTGAACTTCAGCGTTACCGTCAACAATACGACGATGCTGATGAGGAGGAGTCTGACCTCCTGGTAGAGATGATGGACCTCATCAATAATATGGAGGGAACCTTGAAGCTCCGGACCAACGTAAACCGGTCAATCAAGGACGGTCTCCCAAAGGTGAAGGATCGGGTTGCCCGAGTTCTCGAAATTAAAGGCTTGATGAGACAGGCTTTAGTTAATGAACGGGAGCTTGTGAACCAAGTTTTAGCCCCTAAACTGAACGACAAGGGCGGGAATCAAAGGAAACGGGCAAGGAGCTCACCAGCGGAGAGCCCCGATCTTCCTGAATTGGCCAATCAGCCTCTGTCAGATGTTGAGCAGAAGGTCGAGGACAGGGCCACCCAGATGACACCCCCTACTGAGCACACTCCAGCTCTAAAGAAGCGCCCTCAGCAGACCAGGGAGCTTGCCTCTCTCCCAACGGTTGACGGAAGCAGCTCTATGAACTCTGCTGTGGCACCATCAAATGTGGGTAACTGGGAGAAGAGGCTTTCCCGCAAAGAAAAGAGGAAATTGAGACGAATGGAGGCTGTCTCTAACAAAGAACCTGCAGCAAGAGATCGAAAGATTGCTGATCCTGCTCCGGCGAGGGAGGTTCGTGGAAAGGCCCCCCCTGTTTCAAAGAAACCCAGGCCGAGAAAGCCCAGGGCTGAGGCAATCCTGATCAATCCCTTAGGGGGGCGCTCTTTTGCTGAAGTCTTGGGTCGACTCAAGTCTAAGGCCAAGCCAGAGGAGACGGATACGATTGTTAAGTCAATCAGGTGTACCCAGAATGGGAAAGTTCTCCTCGAGCTGGGGAAATCTGGTGACCGAGTGGCTTTTGCTGCAAAGGTCAGAGAGGCTCTGGGGGACCACGGTACTGTTCGGGAACTCGAGCCTAGGACCTCGGTGGAGATCCGGGACCTTGACGGTCTTTCGACTGAGGCTGAAGTCAGGGAGGCTATCAACAAGGCCATCCCTGATATCCAAAATGCCGACTCCCTTAAAGTATGGCTTACGCGGCCCAACCGCAGCGAGCAACGCATAGCTATCGCTGAAATGCGAAACCAAGATGCCAGCAAGCTGCTTAATCTCACACACCTGAGAATTGGATGGGTCAATTGCAGGCTCAGACGGAGGGTGGTTGTACCGCGATGCTTTCGCTGCCTCGGGTTTGGTCACTCTTCCCGAAACTGTAAAGGACCCGACCTATCCAAGAATTGTTTCAGGTGTGGCGGCTCGGGCCACAACAGGAAGAACTGTACCGCAGCAGAGCGTTGTTTTCTCTGCGCAGAGAAAGGCCAAAAGGACGCCTCATTAGGTCACATTCCAGGGGCTGGGCGATGCAGTGTTTTCAAGGCTGCACTCGACCTTGAGAAGGCTAGGTCTGGGAAGTGAGGATTCTCCAGGGTAACCTTGAGAGGTCCAGAACGGCTGACTCCCTCTTAGATCAGCTGGCCCAAGAGATCGGTGCGGACACCCTTCTGATCAGCGAGCAGTACCGTGACAGGGACCCACACTTCTGGTTCCCAGATTCTCTTGGTACTGCCGCTTGTTGGGTTCGAAACAGCACGGAAGCACCAGTGCGAGATCACGGACGCGGCCGAGGCTTCGTTTGGGTCAGGTGTAGGGACGTCACGTTTTTTAGTGTCTACCTTACCCCCAACGAGCCAATTCGGGAATTCCGTCTGAAGATTGACCGCTTAGAAGACAGTGTACGGGGTACCGTTGGGCATGTCGTTGTTGCTGGTGATTTTAATGCGAGGGCTGTGGAGTGGGGTATGACCTCTACAAACTCCCGGGGGAAATACATCCTGGACTTTGCCGCCAGGGCCGGACTTGTCGTCTTAAACGAGGGCGACACGCCTACTTTCCGGCGCCCCGGCATGAGAGGTACGATCCCCGATATCTCCTTCTCGTCGGAATCACTACTAGCACGGATCTCCAACTGGAGAGTCATCGAAGACCTCACGGCAAGTGATCATCAGTACATCGTTTTTGATATACTGGATGAACATCATAATCAGGCGCCTGTATCACGATCTGGACCACGCCGATGGAATACGGACAAGCTGGATGTTGAGAAGTTCACTGACGTAATCTCACGGGGAGCGCTGGTGAATTCTGCTGCACCTGTTGACGCCGAGGCATTGGTAACGTCCACGATGGAACTGATTGTCTCGGCTTGTGACCAGGCCATGCCACGCAGGGGACGCCGTCGCGATAAGCAAGCTGTGTACTGGTGGACTTTAGAGATCTCGAACCTTCGGAAAGCTTGTCTGAAAGCCAGACGTGCCGCTATGAGGGCCAGAAGATTCCCGGATTTCGAGGCTAAGTCAGCGGCTTATAGGGCTGCGAAGAAAGCTCTTCGTCGGGCTATCATCAGGAGCAAGGTTAGCTGTTGGAGGAGGCTTCAGGAGGATGTTGACTCTGATCCTTGGGGACTGGGCTACAAGGTTGTAACCCAGAAACTCGGCGCCCGATCACCACCTTCCGTCATGGAGGGCACCACCATGGACAGGATCGTCACCGCCCTTTTCCCGTCTCATCCTCGGCGGCCTTTTTTCGACTATGGCGAGGTAGGGGACATTCCACTCTTTAGCATTAAAGAGCTGGAATCATCTGTCCTCTCCCTGAAAAATAGAAAGGCACCTGGTCCTGATGGTATTCCCAGTGAGGCTCTCAAGAAGGTATTCTCAGTTAACCCCCTCTTACTGCTGAGAATGTACAACACATGCCTGTGCGAAGGGGTTTTCCCAACTCCTTGGAAAAGGGCTAGGCTTGTGCTAATCAGCAAGGGGAAAGGTGACCCGAATATGCCGTCGTCTTATAGACCCCTCTGTATGTTGGATGTGGCCGGAAAACTCTTCGAGAAACTGATCCGCTGCCGCCTGACGTCTGCCGTGGAAGCTGCCGGAGATTTGTCTCCTCGTCAGTACGGCTTCAGAAAGGGTCGGTCAACAATCGACGCGATATCCGAGGTACACAGAGCGGTAGAGCGTGCCGAGAGCTTCAATCATTACTCTCGCCGTATCGTGCTTCTTGTTACGCTAGATGTCAAGAATGCTTTTAACTCGGCGAGATGGGTCGATATGTTGAGCGCGTTGAGGAATAGCTTCCGCGTACCAGCATATCTGTTGAGGCTGATCGAGGACTACCTGCGCTGCAGAACTCTTAATTACGAAACTAAAGATGGTTCGCGGACGATGGATGTTACTTCCGGTGCCGCGCAAGGTTCGATACTCGGCCCAGATTTGTGGAACGCTGCCTACGACAGCCTTCTGAGATCTGAGATGCCAGAGGAGACCGTTTTAGTTGGGTACGCCGATGACGTCGCAGCCCTCATTGCTGCACGCAACGTTGAGCTAGCCCAACTGAAACTGAACCAAGTCATGCGCGTTGTAAACGCCTGGATGACTGATCATGGTCTGACACTCGCTCTGAGCAAGACAGAGATCGTCATCCTCACGAAAAAACGGATTGAAACCATCGTTCCGCTACGAGTTGGGAACGTAGTTGTCCAAACCACGCGAACCGCCAAGTACCTTGGTGTCATGGTGGACAACAAGCTGAGCTGGAGGGACCAGATCTTCCGTACGGCGGACAAGGCTGCTAGGAGTGTTGCTGCTCTTAGTAGGCTTATGGCCAATGTCGGTGGTCCCCGGTCCAGCCGTAGAAGACTACTGATGTCTGCAGTCCAGTCCGTGCTTCTCTACGGCTCTGAGGTGTGGGCAGACGCGCTTAACAAGGAGGCGTATAGGTTGAGGCTCGCACGAGTGCAGCGTCAGGCGGCACTCAGGGTCGCTTCCGCGTACCGTACGGTGTCCGAACCGGCCGTTTTGGTGATCGCTGGAGTTATCCCAGTCAAACTCTTGGCAGCGGAGAGGAAGGCAATCTACCAGAGACAAGGCTACATTGGAAAGGACGCTGCAAGAACAGAAGAGCGCTCCCGCACTTTTCAGATGTGGCAAGAAAGCTGGGAAAGGGAGACTCGAGGACGTTGGACTGCCAGACTCATCAGGCAGGTCCAACCGTGGGTAGAACGGCGGCACGGTGAGGTTGACTATTACCTCACGCAGTTCTTGTCAGGTCACGGCTATTTTCAGTCGTACCTGCACTTGATGGCCAAAACGAATTCACCTGACTGCATTTACTGCCCATGCATTCCCGACGACGCGGAACACACTTTTTTCCACTGTCCACAATGGGATATGCTTCGCCAGGAGGCCATTCAACATCTTGGGGTGCTGTCGATTGAATCGATCTGTGAGACCTTGCTGAAGGGTGAGGACAACTGGGACTGCTGGTCGCACTTTGTCCGGAATGTCCTTCAAGCTAAAAAGAATGATCTAGATCGGAACATAGTCTAGATTTGATAAGAAATAAACGGCTAGACACGGCGTAAGCCCCTCGGGCGTAGGCAAACTCGGCCTAGTTCTGATGAAGTGCGACAAGTGTTCCCAGGCTAGTGTCCGAAGAGTAGAGGAGGTTTTTAGTGGGTAGTCTCTGGGCCTTAAGCCCGTTGGAGTCCCACACTACAGGCTAGCAACCTGTGTGCATAAATGCATTTTCCCACCTCTCCCTAAAAAAAAAAAAAAAAAAAAAATTTTAAAAAACATTTTTTTTCAGGCCGAAATCGTGTTTGTTTATGTCATACCGTTTCTTTTCAAGTATTCATGGGTTTTCCTAATATATTAGACAATAGATTTTCTTGTAGTCATCTTAAATGCAGGTAAGTCCATTGGGCTAGGCCTAGTTTCTTTCTTGATTAAGCTAAGCTAAGTCCGTGATATTTGATTTTGTATATGTGCCAGTCTTGAGGTTTTATAATGGCTGTGTTTTAAAAACTATCTAGTAACCACAGATAGTGGTGGTGTTCGCTTTAATGGTTGATGCCATTTTCATTGTTGACAAGGTCTAAAGTAACTTTATTATTTAACAACCAATAACGGTTTATGATTTATAAAGATAAATATTTATGATTAATCACTGCACTAGACCTCAATAATGCTGATAATATTTGTTAATTACAATGTGAACCACTTTGATTGAGGACCCCCACTGAGTAGATTATTGTGATCATTTACAAATTAATTCATTAAAGAATGCGTAATAAACCTAAAATTATAGAAAATAATCCAAAATACTGTATTTAAGTTATCCTTCCATAATATAAACTAACAGATTTTCTTTCAGAAAAAGTAAATGTAAATTCCCAAGTTAAAAGAATAAAAGTATGGACCCCGTTACAGGGAGAACAAAACTAAACATTTTGAGTCTGGTTTACACGATCCTAAATCGGGTCCGATCCATGTCTGCCCTGAAATATGATGGTGTAAATCAGTGCTCTTGGTCATGACGGGGACTAGGTAGGGAGGTCGTTTGTTTAATTAGTTAAAAAAAATAAAACTTATTCACTGAACAATTTTATAATTCTGTTTTGGGGGAAACTCACATTTTTGTAAGAGCTTGTTGGATCAATTTCTTTTTTTCATCACTCAAATATGTCATTTTGTTGTTTCCAGTGTTTTCTGAAGTTTTTGAGCTCTTAGCATCCTGAAACAAAGTTTACAATTGTCAGAGTGGACATATGTTTGTTAAAGCTGTGTTTTCTTAGGAGCGGAACTCGGAGAGCAGACTCCTCTTGTCTTAGGTAATTTAATGTTACCATTTTCCTAGAAGCGGAGCAAACGCCATGTTAATCGCTTTCCCCAACTCCGCTCTCTGCTTATGTGTCTAGGAAAACCTGGCTTAAGATTCTAGTAACACCTTTAAGAAAGTCACACTTTAGTTAGACACTTTTACAAATTTGCCCATAATATAGTAAAACTTGAGGATAAGAGGGTTTAGGTTTGTTGGGGACGCAAAGATGAGAATAATTCTCCCACAAGGTAGGTGGAGAGGGGCCCAATTATCTATCCTGTAGCGCATCAAATGCAAACCGTAGGCCTGCTTTAGATACAGAGAAAATATTAAGGTAAAAAGTACATAAATCAAAATGTGTTTGTGAATCATTCTTTTATGAAAAAAAATACAACATTCAAGAGACGAAATTAGGCACTACAAAATTACAAACAAAGAAAGGCTTTCTTAGTGATTGAACTACTTAGTAGAGAAAAAATATTTAATTTTAATGGATAATGAGAGGATTTCCAAATTTCAACTAGTAAGCAGTAGTTTGTATTGCCATATGAAACAAATTTGCTTTGATGGATCTTGAACTCAAGATTATCCAGAACTCTCATGTTTGGTGTATATGGGAACCTCACATATTTGTTAAAATCTGATTTCCATAGTCCCTTCATTTGGCAGTACACAAATTCAACCCAAACCTACGTTGCATTCACATTGGACTCTTTGAAGGAGACACTACCTCCATCATTATTATTGATGTTTTACTTTTTTTATCCCTGACTGTTTACAACTTATTTTTACTGAGCTGTTCTGGAGGAGGAAGTTAGAGTTTATTTATGCCTGCAGGATATAAATAGTACTTCGTTTTAAACTTTTTAAATACATTACACCAGGGTTTCTCAACTATTTTTCCACATCAACATCCCTACACAGTATGATTAATGATTAATTATCTGTACTCTATTTTCAATAAGGTAATGTACTATTGTCAAGAGATAAAATAAAACATGTATCATGACATGAGTTCAATTTTATAAGTAGGCTAGTACAGTTAACTTTGAGAGTGTTCAGTGTTTTATGTATTCTGTGACCCACCTGAATTTGTTTGCAATTGAACAAGCTCAATCTAACCACAAAATGAGCAAAGGATGAAATAATATGTGATTTTTATTTTTACTGACTACTGGGCATCCATAGAAATTATTGAACTAAGACTATATGGACTAACCCATGAACCATTGGTACCCAAAATCTAACCTGATTATGCAATATAGTTGAGATAGTACGCTTAAAATAAAATGCAATGGATACCTGTTCATATTGGCTTAATACGAAATAAAAAAAGCTAACATGCTAGCCAAGGCAGGAGCAAATAGCGATGTAAGTGTTTGCAGCCATTTTAATCACACTAACATGGACATCCACCAGATCAAAATGCTCAAACTTACAAAATTATGGATTAGGAAGGTGGTACTAAATGCTCAAACTTACAAAATTATGGATTAGGAAGGTGGTACTAAATGTTTCATTGGTAGTGCCAAATCCAGTCAACACCATGTGGTTCAACTTAATCTAACTTGACAGACTCAAAACAACCACAACATTTGAAGATTTGGCTACTCATACAACGGAACCAAATTATTTCAAATAAAAAAAAGACTAAACTCCTCAAATGTACCAAAAACATTGATGAAACCTTGGAAAATATCCTCATTGAGTGTTCAGCCTACAAAAAAGAACAGGAGCTCTTCTATAACAAACTCACAAAATAAAAGGATAATACCACCATCAACAACAGAACTTCAAATCATGGAACCCGCATTTTAGCAATAAGATTTCTGCAATAAATAGGAAACTTTTTTTAAGAGAAGGTTTAGTTTGCCAAAAAATCCTGGGACCCTGGTTTTCTTCATCCTCAGCCCTCCCTCCACTGTCTGGTGTCTAAGCCTGATAAGCCCTGACTCAAACCTTTCAAGAGCCGAAATAAACGAATGCAATCAGTTCAGAATTCAATTTCTAATGCATTAACACATGCCTTTTGGTTCAGATCCGTGTAAAGCTGAAACCTGGGAGAGAACTAACAAAAACTAACTTACAGACAAAGTTTGCACTTAGCAACAAAGTCCTAATTAAAATTGAATATGAGGATTCATGACTTTTAATCCAGTCTCCTATGAAACAAACAAGAAAGAAGGAAAGAAAAGACCCCCCAAAACCCAAAATTTATCAACTGCTTTTATATAGTGTTTGATTTTTTTGTCCCCATCATTTACCAGCAAACAAGTTCAATACACATGTACACTCAGTACATGTTGAAATCTTTTTAAAGCACTACTTAGGTGATGTGTTTGAAACTGAAACATTATTACAGTACTTTCTTAATTACTATTAGATTTGGTGGATGATTTAACCAGCTTTTTTAATTGAAACAAAGATGTTTTAAAATCTCATAATACAACTCTGTATGACTATCACATTTTGGATTATACAGATTTAACTGTACACTCATGTATAAGAAGATAATTCATTTCTAAAGTCAAAATATAAATCAATCAAAATCAATATCAATATCAATATAAATCCCACTTGAAATTAGAAATAAAAAAAAATATTATAACCCATTGGCTCATGTTTGTATTTGCCATAGTCCCCGATTTGGCTACAAATTTTCCAGGGTACTAAAAATGGCTCTCGGGTTAATCCCTCAGACACCATTATGTAACTATTATATTGTTTTATTTGGGTTTTTTTTTACTATAAAGATGGTTTGTGGGTGATTTTATTGTGTTTTTCCAGCTATGGCTGGGTTTTGGTTGTACTATTCTTATGTTTTAATATACTTCGCCACTTGAGAACGAAATCAGATCCTAAAAGTCATGACCGCTTTGTTTTTTTTTTTACTAAACTTGGTGGAAAGTGTCTTCAATTAGGTCTTAGTTAGGTTTCCTGAATCTAAAAAAACGAGGTACCTTTAATGTTCGTGTAAACAAGTAACAGTAAATTTAAAACTTTTATACTTAAGGCTTTAATTCTGAGGAAAAACATTTGTATGATGTTTTCAGACCATTTGCTATAGAGAATTTCTTTTTAAGTTTTAATCTCATAAATTAAAGAGACATTTCTTGATTTATGCGTATGCTTTATATTAAAATTAATTTTCTTTTGCTAAGAACAATTCTTAAACAGGAGTCCCACAAAGGGATTTAGGCTCTAGATCTTAAATTACCAGCTCAATTTTTACCGACAGCTTAGAAACTGTACACAATGTATTAGGTAAGTTTTGAAAATATTTTGTAAATAGCTTCCTAACGTTTGAAAAAACAAATGGTGGCATATTGGAAATTATTAAACATCATTAAGTAATTAAGTGATTATTTTGAGGAAAGCCTCGGCAGGTATTTGTCCCAGTTCCCTTTGGCCAAAATCTAGTAACCCTAATCATGATGAGACATGCATAGCCGCTCAACAAACGGAAGCGTAACAGATCATCGCGTAATCAAAGAGCCAGCCCAAAATAAGATATTAAAAGTTCTACTTCACTGACTTACCAAACTCATCACTATATTTACCTGTGCCACTGTAAAACTGTTCCGACTTTCAAACAAAGCTTGAGTTCGAGCAAAATCGATTTCAAGCTTACGGGTTTTCTCATTCAGCGCTTGCAGCTCAGACTTCATTTTTTCCTCCGACAGTGATATTCCTGGTGCATTGATTCTTAGCCCAACCATTTCCAACCTAGAGATGAAAATAAAGTAATAGTGATGAAATAGTAAAGTAATAGCCTCCCAGAAAATATTGAGCTGAGTTTACAGCTGTGAAAAAATACATAAGTATGTGGTCAAAAAAAAGTTTTGTAATATTTGTTTTTTGTTTTTTGATTGAACAAGTATTAAAGAGTTCTGGAGGATTTCTGACAAAAGTGGCATATCTTTACAAAAATGCTTTTTTTTCAGCTTACAAATAATGAACACTCGTTGTACATGTACATACAACACGTTTGTTAAAATACTACTCTCTCTCGTTTTCCAAAATTCGAAGGCTTTCCAAGAATTCACAGGAGAAGGATTACTATACAGTAGACTCCCTCTTATCCGGACACCTCGGGACCGAGGCCAGTCGGGATTACGGTTTTTGCGGTTAAATCGACGTCCCCGAAAATTCGTTAAAACAGATCGTTTGGATCCATACTGTATAAGCCAATAATGATTATTACGTATTTTGACACGCGATCACTGGTCTCAAATATTTCCCACGAGAACAGTCGTTTCAGTACAACCCACTTACTGCCGATCTAGTCCGGTTAAACCGATGTCCGGTTAAAAGGTGCCCGGATAAGAGGGAGTCTACTGTAATCAGATTCGGAGAGTTGTTCAAAGTACATTTTGGAATTCATCATTGATATAATATGAGGCAGTTTTACCTAAAATTCATTTGTAACAATACAAAAGGCACTAATAAAGAGAGTTGCAAGTTCCGGGGGTAGCTTTAACATTTAATTAAGTCTAGAGGCACATCTTTTCCTATATGCTTCTTGGGCTCAAAACACAAGTTTTTTTCAACTTTATTCATAATATATGTGACAGGTGGCCGAATGAAACAACGAAAATGCACTACGAATAAATGATTTATTTACTTATGATAAAAACAGTAGTAAAGTATTTAGCTATCGACTTGCTGTAGGAAAGATGAGAGATTAGTCTACGTTTAGTTTACAAACACGATACTTATTAATAGTTGCCAATACTAGCTGACGATTAAAAAGAAATACAATTTGGATATGAGTCGCTTAGATTCACAAAGTTAAGTTACAGATTTTCATGTTAAAATACATTTTAGAAGAGTGAGGGAAAGGCGACAATTTAGATGACCGACTGAGCCGAATTTAGAATTTAGACTAACTCAACTGAGTGCGCGCTTCCCATAGCCCAGAGTTGGGCGTGGAGGGGAACCAGCCAATCACGTTGCGGCTATGCCGCGTGACGTCAGTGCAAGCCCTGGACGGTGCTGCTGCCTAACGATTCATCAGGGCATTAGGCAAACTATAGTTGCGCATTAACTGATTTCATCGAGCGACTTGCTGAGCTGTATCAGCAAATTCCAGCCATGCGCGTTACACTTTCCGAGAACGTTGGCCTGACCCAGCGCTGAGCCACGCTGACGGAATATTCCATGGTGAGGCAACTGGTTGACGCAAAAAGCTGGGAGGTTAACAGTCCAATATTACATACCCTCTTTTTATATTTGAAATAAAGCAAAGCTTCTGTGACGGTAAAGACAGGGTTTCCTGAGGGTGTAACCAAAACCTCCCCAACTGATATGTAATGGGTCTGGGAATTTTTGGGACCGTCACATATATTATAAGTTTTTTTTACTAAGAAGCAAATGGGAAGTCTACAATTTCCCACTGTGACAATGAAGATGTCCCTGTAATTGCCCAATTTTTTTATGAAGATTTTAAAAAGAAACAAAAGTTTCTTGACTTGAACAGGAAGAAAAGTCTAGTGCTATTCCCAATCCAAAAATCAAGAAGGGAATCCTTACCGTCCCACCCAACACTAAAAGTACAGTTCTGGACATACCTGCTATATACCAAAAATTGAATGCATCAAGAATACATAAAAGTAAAAAACAAACCAACCTTTTCTGCAACTCCATGTGCTTTTCATTAGTTTCCTCGTAACGTTCTGCTATTCTTTCCGCATTCTGTTGAAGTTCTTCTCTTTCAGCCATTAGAATATCAATTTGTTTCAGCTGGTAACCAAACTCAATTGCATTATCACGTTTTCTGAAAATCATAAAACCATATTCAAGCCTTAAACCATAAAAATAAAGTAAATTAGCGATTGAATTCAAACACACAATATTTTTTGATAAAATAAACATTTAATTTGCATGTAATTAAATTTAACATGTTCTCTCAAGAGAAATTTCAACATAAAAAATCCTAAAATTCTCGATTTTAACAAAAAATACTTTTTCTTTTTATGGTAGGATTTCAACAGAACAGTGACTTTTGGTAGTATTATATTTATTTGCATGAAACACTAAAAATAAAAATATTACGGTGTTTGATGAAAAAGTAGGTTTGACCACAATGGAATTAGTGACAGCAAATTATACAATTTCGGTCGGTATCAAACAACCTGTCATTTTAAGACACAGACAGGTACATCAGGGTCCTTCTCTGCAAAGCTGTTCCACAACTTCTTGCCAGATGCTTGGATAGCTACAAGAATATCTACCAACTACTGACAAGCAAATGAGCTGCCAGGGCATACGTTTTCCACGTAGCAAACGTAGGGACGCCAGGGGGTAGCCTACGTTTTCTAGAAGCCATGACTCCAAGAGAAGTCAACTTTCATGAGAAGTGGAGAAGAGTGTAACCTCACAGCCAAACAGACTTTGAATTATTGTACGAGCAGCATTTTTAACAACATCGCTAAGAAACATCGTTGGTTAACATTGATCAAACATCCTCTTAGAGTAGCCCTAGACTTTCTTTCTTCCTTGCAGTACAGACATCAGAGACCATTGTAGTTAGCTGCTGTGATTTTCTACTATTTGATTGAGGCAGTTGCTTTCCTGTTTACACCAACTCAGGGCACTTTCCTTCATCAAATATCAATCAAAAGGTATGTCTAGACCAATCTGTGGGGTTACAGTTACAGGGTGAGGTACTTTGTACCATCAGACAGCAGAGTAACAACTAAAGCACTTATTTTACACAGTGATCAGGTAAATATAGTATTAAATATCAAAAACTGAATGTGAAAACAGACGTGGATTATCTTCTCTGGACACCAGGAAATTTAAGGTGATAAGGAAGCAGACAGGCTTGGATGAAGATGGATCCAGCTTTTGAGTATGGGGAAGTGAAAGATCAACTTGTTTAACTCTTCCTGATTGTTGACAAGTCAAGAAGCGTCTTATTTACTGCGATCAAAGAAGACAATAAACAATAGACAATATTTCTTTATTTACATAATTCAAAGAGAATAGTAATGATTCAACAAATTTTTGATGGTTAACTTAAAACTATTTTCAACATTTGTAGGATTGAGGGGAAGATCCACTGGTGCTGTTTTTTTCAGGAATCCGGCTTATGAGTAAAATGGTTTGTCCTTTAGCCATGATGTTAATTTGTTCTTGAAGTGTGGCAGTGGTAGTGTCTTGAGCTGCTCAGGTAGATGATTTTTGGTAGGTGATTTAGGTAGGTGATGATTTTATTTGATTGGTTGATTTTGGTGAGTCGTTGGCTCAGTCGGTAGCGTCGCGGACTTCGGGCCCAAGGCAGTAGTGTCGTGGGTTCGGATCCTGGTCACTGCCACTAACTTTTATCAGTACAGTTCACCTTTGTACTGTACCGGCTCACCCCTTGCTTTGCTGGATACGTTCCACGCACAGATCTGTAGTCTATGTGGACGGGCAAATGCAAGGTTAAAAGAGGCCGCCAACCTCTAAAAAAAAAAAAAAAATTTTAATACAAAGCTCCTCTGTACGCTGGTTTCCTTTTAAATAGGCTGAGATGATGTCATGGCAAGGCAAAGTTTGGCAAATGAGGTTTGAAGAAGCAGTGCTATCAGTAAGCTTAGAAAGAATAATCTTGGGATTGTGACAAGCCTTTGAATTGGACATTGCGGACTTAAGCAATTCTTCTGATACTGAAAATAATAGAGGAACATGTATGTTCTACCAGGAGTGAGAGGAAACTCTGCAGTCTGCACCTATTTGCCAAAAGTGAAGTGGTTGAACCCAAAAAGAACTGAATGTTTTGATATGAATGAAGGTATGAAAGGTTCTGGACATACAGTAGACCCCCTCTTAACCGACCTCGTATTAACCGATAATCGGATTATCCGCCTTCGATCGTAAAATGATATAGTTTGTTTTAACCAAACTTGATTTGAGAGCAGCTCGGTTTAACCGCCGCTTTCTAGGAATCTCGGCATTTCCGCTCCCACACTGGGCGATGAGAACTGAACCATACGCTTATCTCCACAGGATATGACTAACAATAAGCTATTTTGTGTTGATCACAAAAAATATAGCATAGCCTATTGTCAGTTTGTCATCATCGTTCGTAGCTCGAGCACATCTGATCTGATTTGTTATCTGTGCGGCAAATTTATAACATTATAAAGTGCGTTACGATTTTGAGAACTGATTATCTTATTGTTGGAGTAAACAAACAACGCAACTTGTAAGGAAGGCAGGGAAAGGGGGTTAACAACTCCAAGGTCAAGATAGCTTTTGTGCCTGGAGCCTCCAGTGAGAGGCTATAAATAAACGTCCTGTTTTGTAACAAAATGGTCGCTTGTATCTTTACTGTACTGTAAAGGTTACTGTAAAGGTTCGTAAGGTGTAAAGGTTAGGTTGTACTGTTAAGGTTCTGTACTGTATTACGATGTATTTTGAAAACATCAATTAATACATTACAGTATTAAAGTTATTAAAATAGGAATTTTATTTCGGGAAATTTTCGGGAAATTTTAAATCTCGTTACACGAGACGAGATTTCTTTTTGGCCGAGATTTTTATCGAGACGAGAATAAAAAAAAAAAAAAAAATTAAAAATTAAAAATGCCTGCAGAAAGTCAATGCAATACCCGCAATACAGGAGCGTGTTGTAGTTGCGTTTCCTTTGCGAAGGCGTTCTTATTTAATTAATTCTTTAAATGTAAATATTACTTTAATTATTTAAACAATACTACTTTAATAACATTTGAGAAGTTTTGTTAAGTGTAAGCAGTGTGAGGAATGTTTTATTACTATAAAAAGTCAAAACAAGTAACTATTTTATAAAAATTAATATTGCTTTTATTTTATGATTTATTTTATTTTAGGATAAGTTGAACTCTATTCTAACTGATATCACTATGTTTTCTAATCGTAGGCATTTTTAATAAGTTAGGCGTCATTAATAAAAAAATGTTACTGTATGCTGATGTTTTTTAATAAAATCTCCCGTCTCGATCTCGTCTCGAAATTTTATGAGAAATAAAAAATCTCGTCTCGTCTCGTCTCGAACTAAAAATCCAATCTCGTCCATCCCTACTTCAAAATAATGATTATATAATTCCAAATGAATAGCACTTCATTATGTTATGATTTTAGGGATTGCCCGTTTTATCCGACCTTTTGAGTTATCCGACCTAGGTCCGGTCCCATTAGGGTCGGTTAAGAGGGGGTTTACTGTATACCCAACATAGGATATCCAGCTGGGAATCTTCATCAAGAGATTTGGACTGATCTGATGTTGAAGCGGGGGCACAATAAGATATAGGTATCAGTCCTTGTTATCATTTTCAAACCGGCCGCAGCATGGTCAAATAAGATGAGCAGTGGAATCTGGAGTGTAAGAAGGGTTAGCAGGAGCTGTAAAATTATCTTGGAACTGTTGTATATGTTACAAATTTTCATTAAACTCAAAAACTAGATTTAAACTTGTGTAACAATCTAAGTGATAGGCTTCCACAGTCACGGCTGATTGTCAAATCTAGGTCTCCAGGTGATGACGGTGTCTTTGAAAGAGTAAAACTTGAGGCCAATGTTTTGGATGCTTAGCAGCTAAGCTATGCATCTTTGGGTTATATTCCAGGAAGGTCTGAACCTTACAGCATTACAGAACATTCAAAAAGATTCCAAATACGTTCCCCAACCCACCCCAATATAATCTATGACGCTTGACCCTCTTCAGTTGAATAGTAGTTTGCCCCAAAGATGGATAGCTGTTACACATCTAAAATGTTGGCCTATAGTCTTACTCTTTTAAAGATACCTTGATTCTACTGAACACAATCCCGCTTGCAGGCATAAGATCTTCACAGTACAGTAGACTCTCTTAATCGACCTCGCATTAACCGATAATCGGGTTATCCGCCCACACTCGTAAAATATTACAGTTTGTGTTAACCATTCTATTTTTGAGAACAGTTGGGTTTAACCACCACTTTCTAGGAATCTCACCATTTCCACTTCCACGCTCAGTGATGGTAACAATATGCGTAACCCTACAGAATGTTATATATATGCCATAAATAAACATCCTGTTTTGTAACAAATTGGTTGCTTCTTTCTTGAATTTTGACAGTTAGTTCTTTTATGATGCATTTAAAAGGCATCAATTAATAGTATACTAATAGTTATTAGAATACAAATTTGTATTGACTCTTGCCTAGGACTATATTCCACTGAAATTATTTGACTTTGCTGTGTTTTGGGTTTATTTCTGACTTTTATATCATCAATACAGTAGTGTCTCTATAATCCGGCCGTTCAATACACAGTCCAGTAATCCAGCACTGTGTTTCCAGCGATGAGTCAGTATATTTTCATATCTAAAGTTGAAAGCCCGAGTGTCCACATTCCACAACAGTACACAACACACTGATACACTGACATCTGCTACGGGTAGTTGCGTACAGTGTGTGGTGTGTGAGTTGAGTGAAGGCAGTGTTGTGAGTACAGTACATACTATACAATCAAGCAGTTTGATGTCGGGAAAACGTAAGCATGTTATGCTGACATTAGATAAAAAGTATACGATTTTAAAACGGAAAAGGGTGAAAAGTTGGCTCATCTAAGGTCTATATAATATAAATATAGGTTGGTCTAAGGAATATAATATCGGGCATGCAACCATACACTACATAAAGAAAAATGAAAAGGGACGACTTCCGTGCAAGGGACAGATGGCTAGATAAATTCAAACGGCGCTTTGGAATTTGATTGCTAAATTTAACTGGACAAAGGCTTTCATGTGATGTAGAGGCTGCAGAGCCTTTTGTTGAAAGATTTAAAGAAATCGTGGATGAAATGAATTTAGGCCCAGATCAGATCTACAATGCTGTCGAGAGTGGTCTGTTCTGGCGTCTTTTGCCGAAACAAACATTTTTTCATAGAGAGGAAGCTAGCGCCCCAGGTTGCAAGTTGGCCAAAGAGTGAGTAACTTTTATGCCGTGTTGTATTGTAATGCTAGTGGCACGCATAAATTAGAATTGCTTGTCATTGGTAAAGCCAAGGGCTTAAAAAAACACACAGTTGCCGGTTTCATACACAAATTTGACAAAGGGATGGATGACCAAAACTCTTTTTTCGGAATGGTTTCATAAAGCTCTTGTCCCATGAGTAAAAAGGTTTTTGAAAACACAGAAATTGCCTAATAAAACCCTTTTGTTGCTTGATAATTGTCCTGGACATCCAGACCAGGATGAGTTAAAAAGTAAGGATGGAAAATTATTGCTTTATTTTTTCCCCTGATGTAACTCATTGACCAAAATGTGATCCAAACTATAAAAAACAAATAAAAAACCCTGTTGTACAGTGTTTTATCAAAAGAGGGGAGTGTTGTTACAGCTTTGAAGGAAACCAACCAGAAAGATGTTGTTTTTAATCTTGCAAGGGCATGGGAAAAACTTGCAACAAAAACAATTGTTTGTTCATGGGCCAAGTTGTGGTCTTCTCTGGATTTATTAGACGATAAAAAAAAATCAAATCCTCAATCAAAAGGCAGTGAAAACAGACGCTGAGCTGAACGACTTGAGAGAAGCAATAACCGAACAATTAGTAGACAAACCAGATGACATTAGCTTAGAAGGAGCAGACGACGAGCAGTGTCAAATCATGACAGGGGATGAGATCATCGAAGATGTTCTATACAGCAGTGACGTGGAGGGGGGTATGAGGAGGGCGGAGCTAGTACATTGTACGCCGACATGACAGCTTCATACACAGTCAACACGGATTCGGCGCTCTGTGCCAACGCAATATTGTGGATATTTATAGGCATGCACTGTGGATGCGATACTCCCTGGTGTGGATTAACGTCCGCACGGATGAGTACTACGACTGTCCGCAGTACTATCCTGATAATTAGACCAATTTGTAATTACCAAGGCAAAAATGTGGTTCGGATTCCACTATAAACTGTAGGTCCCTTAGTTGCCATTAGCTGTATGGGCTATTAATTAACAGCTGTGTCTAAGGAATGTCGGCCTTAGTCACTAACAAGACTACAAGATCGTGCCACTCATCCTACACTCATCTCCATTCATACTTGGCTTAAAATAACTACTTTGTATGGTCGCCATTTCATAGAACAGTATTAACAGTAATAACTTGGGTATGAAGTTTTTTAATAATCTACCAACAAACATTAAAAGCCAAATCTGTTTAAAGAGTTTTAAGAATAAAGTTATCTTTTAAACCAAGTATTTTACTCTGTAAGTGACTTTTTACAAAATTAAGCAGCATTGTTATATGTAATTGTTGTTTTAGAGTCAGACAAAAATGTTCTGTAACTTAATTGTATTTTTAGGTTTATATTGAATTGACAATGTCACCAGTTTAATAGCTTTGCTATGTACAAATGTTTTTATGTGACAATAAAGTGAATTTGAATTTGAAATTTGGGTGGAAGAAAACAGTGCTTCGGCTTGCGATATTATGACACTTAAGAGACTCCAGGAAAATGTTTTAAAACTTTCTTTTAATCCAAAGGAAGCAGAAAAGCATTACAAACTATTTTGCTGTTGTTTAAGTAGGCCATACATGTAATGTGTGCAGTAGGCCTACAGTATTGTAATTTTCATTTTGTACACATACAGTATTTAGTGATTATCTTTGTTCATTGATTGAAATTGTATTGTACTGTAGTTTGCTGTTTCATATTGCTGTTTCTTTTTCATAATACAATAAACAAAATTTCATTAGGCCTATATTGTATAGACATTTAAATGATTGTTATCATAGTTTTTGTAAGCAATAAAAATGTGGTTTATTGTCAAACTATGTACTTCATTTTTTTATGTATTTTCACTAATCCGGCATTTTCTATAATCTGGCCCTACTAATAGCATATATACACTAATATAGGGCTGGATTAACGAGATCCTACTGTACTAAAAAAAGGAGACAAGTGTGGTTATTTGTTTAATAATGCATTCACGACTTCAGAATAATGATTATATAATTCCAAACGGATAGCACTTTACTATATTTTAAGATTTTTTAGGGATTGCCCATTTTAACCGACCTTTTGAGTAATTAATTTAGTAACCCGTTAGGGTCGGTTAAGGGGGTGTCTACTGTAAAATGTTGATCTACAGACAAAATATAAATGTTTATATACTGTACTTAATATTAATTATAAGATTATATTTTAGTTTTCAAATGTGTCTTACTTGGCATCGATGAGCTCGGCGACAACTTTGAGTTTTATCAGACGATCCTCTTTGAGGTTGCTTATATATTTCCTTAGGAACTGAAATCAAATCATCAAAGTCCAATTAGTGATGTAGCAACGAAACTATTAAATACTTTTCAAAACAGATGTGAACATACTCTTACTGCTGTTTATTGTTATTGTATGAACATTTTTCAAAGCAATGTGTATAATTTTCTTTTTTGCCAGGTTAAATGTAAGAAATGTCCATGTGGCTCCAAATTAGCAAAATAAGAACTTTAATATACCAAATTTTTCATTTAATATAACCAATCTGGAAAAGGACTTATAAAGTAAATTGCATACTCTAATCTTTTTTGTGATATTTGTGCTAATATACAAATATAAAAACAAACCATTTAATAATTATAATTTAAAACTTAAAAGTAAACCATTTAAAACCAAAAAACCATTAAAGGTAAACCATTTATAATGAAAAAGTATCTACTGCTATAAAGTATTTGAATTTCTACATCAAGTGTATGGTAGCAGTTACGTTACGAACCTTAAATATAATTGACAATATCCATGGCTAAATAGCCTATGTCAATTCTTTAAAATTGAATAAAGAAGCTTAAGCTATTTTCAGAAACATCGGTGCTAATTGGCTGCTCCTTAATCCAAGTTAGAGCTATTTTGCCAGAGTGGTATAGTACAATCAATCAATTCAATCGATCTGTGTATCATACCACAGTAACATCATTCGTTCAAAGCCTTTCCCTACTTCAAATACTGTTCTAATCAAATCTAGCATGTAGCTAAATCCAAGCAAAACCATCTTAAAACAGCTAACTTCTTTTAAGAGATGTTCTTGCCAACTACTACTGATGTTGGCAAGAAGATAAACAACTAGTTTCAGCCGATGAACATTGTTAAGGTGGTGCAATTGAAAGAGCGGCCCACGGCTTGACCTACAAAAATTTTGCCGTCATGGCTGCCACCCCTCTCTCTGAGTGGAGTGGCAAGAGTAGTTGCGGAAACGTGCTTAATCCACCAAACATATCATTCTCTTCATGGCTTATCCTACAAAGATTTTGATGTCCCGGCCACCCCTCTCTCCAAGGGGAGTGGGGACAAGGGCTTTAAATGTTTGAGCCTTGTCGCCTGTGATTTATGTCCGTTCCCACAAAGTTATTAGCAATATGTTTTTAGTCAGATTTGTACATAGTATGCCATGGAAGTACATTTCTGCTTTGAACAGTCAAACTAACTTATTAAAATGGAACTATCTTGACTCTGGTGATAGAAGTACATAAAATAACACTAGTCCCATGTCAGCCTGGATTCATAATTCCCCATGTCTGTTAGTGTTTATACAAAAATAACTAGAGCCTGGGTAATCCAAAATATCATGAAGATCAAATAAAAATGATTGAACCTGAAGAGTTTCTTCCGGTGAAGCATTTCTCAGTGCGTCTCCTACTTTGATCACGGGTGGCTTGGAGCTTTGGTTGCCGAGGAGATATTTGCTCACAACTGCAGAGAATTCCGTTTTAGGACCCTGAACCAATATTAAACATTAGTACATATACAATTTAAAAACAGCCACTTTTTTATGTTTCATCAGGTACATGACATTTTGATCAATGTATTTCATGAATAAGATTATAAAGTTCTCAACAAGTTTAAAATGTATATATTAGTGTTCTATGACAAACAGGATTTTATTTTGTTATAGGGTTATTAACATATAACATAAATCATATTTGATTTCATGACACTGACACAGAAGGGTGCGTATTTTAAGGTGAAAGCCAGCTTTTTACTGACTACTGTCAGCAGTTTCTACAGTTAAAATCGTTTATTGAAAGACGATCAATCAAGGGAAATTGGGCCAGTTTTCAACTGTAAAAAAGCTTCTGTGTCTTTTCTCATGATTGAACTAGTAGAATAATTAATTCAGTCAAATTTTGTGCAACATTATGATTTAAATGAAAACTTTCTATTATGAATACTAGTTTATTTTCTAAATCCTTATAAAATTTCCTAGAATACTGAAGCAACCAAAAAGATATGTCAATGATGCTAATTTTCTTTCAGTATCAGCTCAAATTTGTCTTTAGTTGATATGTTCCTTGTACATGCTAAATGCCAAAGTGGATTATCATGGAAGTCTAAGTTGAGTTATGAAACTTATAAAAGCAACTGGCTTTTCTCAGGATCAAACCGGCATCCGGCAAACATCTGTTAAGAGGCAAGCACTATAATCACTGCATATGGCAGTGGTTGTGACAATGTCCGTCATCATAGCCTACTCTAATACAAGGCTGCACTCAACAATGTGGCAACGCTGCAATCCCCTCCACCCAACGGCCTACTCACCACAGTTACTCCACAATAGCTAACTTACATAATCAGCTACACACTCTGCCCTATTGACGTTACGCTATGACTATTTGACGCCCATTGATGTACAAACTCTTCAAATGTAAGGTTTACACATTGACAATCACACCATAAAAACGTTTATGAATGTTAATCCTGTTTTGACTTTTTAACACAATGTCAATAACAAATATGTAAACCAGCGGTTCCCAAACTTTTGGTCTGGTGACCCCCCACCACCTAAAATTTTTTCTCACGACCCGCTAATAAAATAATATTATTAGGCTATGATTATTTATTATTATAATCATGCACATTGAGAAACACAAACACACAACTAAATGGAAATCGTTAGGACCACATTATTAAAAATACAATTTCTAGTTCAAAACACTTAATTTTAGAACTGAAGTTTGGACTTATTATAGAAGAGACTTTATCTCGATTGAATGTTGACAGATACTTGGGCATTTTCCAAACATATCCCTTTTCTGTATTTAATTTTAAAGAGGATTCCCTCTCACAAAACTAAGTTTTTAACGACTCAGCTCTTTTGGATATTGAACTGATACAATTTATTTTTATTGGTGCTCCTCTCCACGTGTTTTTAAACATTAACTACAATTCATAAAACATTTTTTTTTACTCTTTAGCTAAAAATTGAAAGATGAATAAATATGTCATAAAATATGTTCAATTTTCTTTGGCTTTCAGTAAAACTGGAGACTTCGTAAGTTTTGGGGTCCAGTAAGCCTACTAATATACATGTAGCCTACTTCTGGTCAGGCTCAAAATAAACAATCCGATATCTAGTATTTACAACAGTTAAAGATAATTGAAGAATCTGTCATGATAGCCATAACTTTTTTCATGAACAATTCCTAAACAAATCTTTAAATTCCAATTACTGAAACTTCGTTGTAAATTAAACTTTAGCAGAAATGTATAACATAAGGTTAATTTAACTAAGCCTTCCTGTCAGTTCAACAACATTAACTCAAGTTTAAAAAACTTAGGAGTATAAAAGTATGTTTCATACATTTACAAGTTATTTCTTTAGTAAGTTTGTATACCGAATGTTTCATATCTATCACAAATCCATATTAAATTTTTTCATTTTTTATGATTGCGGCACTAACGTGATCATCTCCAACGATCACGGTAACATCACAGTAACAAACACATTCACAGTAGGCTAATGAATAATGAATCATCGTCTGCATTTGTAGTAACACCACGATAATCTACACGTCGGTAAAGAATCAACCAAAAACAAAGGGGTCACATACCCCCTTGTTCACGGGTTAAATGAATACACCAAAATATCACGATATTATATCATAATATTGTATAAATACAAACAAAACATGTAAAATTTTACATTTTACAATTTTTAATTTTTTTTTAATTAGCATTTTAAAATTGCTAGTGTAAAGCTAAAACATGTCAATCACATTAAACCATGGATATTCTGAAAAATTTTAATGCACACTGTACGTACAGCCCTAACCTTCTTACCAGCTTTGTACTATTCTGATGAATAGCAGACCGTTCCAGTAGTCCAGAGTCCCGTTAAAAAAAATTTAATTAAGGTTTCATCGCGACCCACCAAAATTGCTCCCCTGACCAACTGGCGTGTTGCGACCCATAGTTTGGGAACCCCTGGTGGAAACATTCACAGTGTGCAGACCCTACATATGAATTAGTGCTACAGCTGATTTGGTAGGCTGGGACTGCGGTGTTGCTACATTTGCCTAACTGCCTTGTATTAGAGGAGGCTCTGCTATTAACTTTGTTCAATGACAAATGATTGTAATTCCTATTTCAAAACTTAATAAACAATGATATAGGCTACCTTGACACTTGTCACAAATTTGTTGAGATAGTCGGTGGCAGGAGGGAAGAGGGAGTCAACCTCATGAATGAAGGGTTGGCCGTCAGCTGGTAATATCAACAGCTGGGACTTTGTAACTTTCACAGGCAACACACCTACTCCAAACAGGCTTCGGGAAACCTGCATCCCACCCACTTGTGTGTCCACCAGCTGTCTTACGATACTGTCCGTCTCTCTTATTGCCGTCGTCACCTTCTCCGCTAAACAATGAAATATGCAAGGGTTCTGATAGTTCATTTGCTTATTTTTAAAGTAAAAAAAAAAAAAATAATAATAGTCCTTAGACCTCTACGATAATGATTGACAGTCATACCAATCAGTGTATTGTATTGATAATTAAGGTGACCTATTGGGTTTAGGTCACTAAGCCAAGCAGTAAACAATGCAAGTAAAAATTGAATAAGTTAAACATCTACAATACCCTAAGCAATATGGGAGTGCTCTTGAACGCTAGGTAAAATAATATGTTCAGGGGAACGCCAATATTGCCCAAGGGAACGGCAACAGTATTAAAAACTTGAAATATTCACTGACCTTGATAAACATTTATTTAAACAAACAAGCTAACTAATAATTTAATGTTTTATTTTTGACATGTTATGCTTATGATTTTACGAGGTTTATTTTCATAAAAAGAAATACCCTGGGTATCCTCTCATATGCTGAAGATAATGTATGTGAATTGCAAATTAAAGAGGTTAGTATTGTATTTCATAATAATGATGCTAGTTTGAGAAAATCTTCCAAAGAAGAAAAGAACACTCTGTGTACAACAAAACCCCGATTGACTGAAAAACCGGGAGTGAGGCTGTTCCAGATAACCTAAATTTTTAGTTCTCTCTAATCTGAAAATTTTATTTGATTTTAGTATATGATTTGTTTTTTCATCTGCCCATTATAATCCGCTGGCCCGCATCACAGTGTACAATTCCTTTTCCTAATTAACCAAATAATTTGATGTTTTTATTATAGTTTTTGTTAACCCAGGTTTTGGTTAGATGTGGTGCAGTTGAAAGGGATTTTACTGTATTAGTGAGTAATAGGCCTAAAAAGCTAAGTTACTATGCACTATTCTTAGTGGTTCAAGGTGTCCCTCTAATCAGGAGACATCATTTTACAAAGAAGGCTCAATTTCAGACTCTGGTTTATACCTGTAAGTGCTCTTACGAAAGAGGTCCACCTGATGAACAGTAAACAGTTTTAATGAAAGTTGACAGCTCAAGATAAATTTGTACAAATTGCAACTCTGATCAGGCAAAGTTTTTTCCACCGCTCCGTAACTATTTTCGATAACAGCTTATATCAAAGAAAGTAGTTGTTTCCCAAGCTCTAATTTAGAGTGAGGGAAAAACGATCAGCTGATTTTCCCTCGCTCTAAATTTACTTTCCCTCGTTCCCGATTACTTCTCCATTAACCCACTACACGAGCTAGTGTTTTGTTACTGATTATTTTTATGATTCAAATCAGCTGTTTTTATTGTTGGACAATCTAAATGTATACAGCAATAGGCATTATTTTTTATTGTTTTGCTGTGTTTTTAGCATAGGGCGTTTTTGTTTGAAATTGCTCAAAGTATGTCTAACATTCCTGATAATTTGATGAAAACAGCTTCAGGAATAACTAACCACCTTTCATCAGAGAAATCACGAGAAAGATAAGAGGAGGAATACAGAAAGTTCAGAAACTGGCACAAATGACAAAAGGTTTAGTCAGTTAAAGTAAGCGTTTTAATTAGTAGTTTTAGTTTTTTAAAGGATAAAAAGCAACTTGGCTTTGGAGTTATTTCGCCCCTTTCTAAAGGGGTCTTACATTTATGTGTTCTTTTAGTCCTCCTGGGACTTTTTATTCATGTGAGTTAGTTGTGTATCTTTCCTTTCTCCTATCAATTAGTAGTTTTAGCGTTTTAATGTAATAAGCTTAGTATTTATTAAAATATTTGTCTATAGCCGGTTTTTCCTAGGCGCGGAAGCGGAGCGTGGATAGAGGAAGGCGGAGAGCCGTCTCCTATTATCTTAGGTAATTTAATGTTTTCCTAGAAGCGGAACAGAACGCCATGTTAATCGATTTTCCGCTCTCCACGTTCCTCTCTCCGCGCTCCGCTTCCAGGCCTAGGAAAACCCAGATAAGAAATCTATAATCATGAAACCATATAAGTTGAGTTGTGAGGTGTATTTTAAATGATAAAGAGTGGTTAATACTTAAAGTAGCCTTTGTTATTCTGTATATGTGTATTTTTGGGTTGTGATCAAAAGTATCGTTCATAACTCTTTCTGAAAGCTTTTTTGCAACACTTGCTCTATTATTCCCCTCCTTGGCTTCACCTCGTACGTACTGAAAATTGAGTACACCCCGGAAAATGCTGCTTTCAGTCTACTTGTTAAAAAAACACTTCACTGCAGATTTATTTTATACGGTGGTACCGAACCAACCTAATATTAATGATTACAGGAAATCGTGTTAAAAAAGGAATTTGAATGATGAAGTTAAAATATGAATACAAACAAAACATGTAAAATTTTACTATAATATTCTGTTTCTTGCATAGCTATCAGTTCTTGGAAATTCTGATCTGAAAAAAAAAGGTAGAAGAGTTTAGTTGGTATCGTTGGGTATAATGAGAACTAAACACAATATTTTGATATTCCAAATACAGTTCTTGTTTGGTTTGGACTTTGAATGGTTCAGATGGCCACCTTTTTATGACTAATTTAAATTTACTTGAACACAACCACACCAGCGCCTTGTTCATGGCAAAAAAAAACAAAAAAAAAAACAAAACAATAAAAAACTAATACCTGTTCATCTATTGCTGTATTGATGATGTGGCTATATTGGTTTATTGCTTAGTAGATATATATCTGCAGTTTATTTTTGTATACACTTCTGATACATCTAACTCTTTTAGCTTTAAAAAAAAAAAAAAACTCTTTTAGCTTAGACAAGCCACCAACCCAAATGATCCGAATGGGAAGGCATCTTTAGCATTGAAAATGAATAAATTAAATTTAAATAGCAACAACTTACGACTGATTCCTCGACAATCCAGTCCCAACAATTGGTCGAGCACAGGAATCAATGGAATCATAACTGCATGGACACCAGCTGCATGCAACACGAAATACCTGTTACAATTACAACTTAGGTTAGGTTTAATATATACAGATTTGACACTAAATGTTTTAGAACCAAAACTACAGGAATATACGTCTCATTCCGATTCACAAATATGTATACATGAACTAAACAATTTGAAGTAAAAAAAATAAAAAAATAATTAAAGTAAATTGAGGTGTTTATTGTGCTCCTGTCGCGGTCAAGCAAGATACAGTAAAACTTAAATTACCCAAACCCAACCATCCAAATTGCCCAATAGCTTAACCGCTTAAAAAAGAATTTTCAAAACCTAAAACTACAGTCATAAGAATCGTCATTAAAGACGACAGAAGCTGTGATTGCGGAACATTCTTGAAAAACACCTGCCATCGTGTAACATCAAATTGTCTCCTCCAGTCATGGAAACATCACCATCGTCATCCCTCATTAAGGTAAAATCCTGAATATCTCCTACAGTCTTAAAAAAAAAAATACAACATCATCTTTCATGATCGCAGCAAAGTCTTGGATATCTTCCACAGTTGTGAATACATCATCATCGTCTCCCGCAGTCACAGAAACATTTACGTATTTCGATACCTGCTGCAAAAGTGGAATGTTTGAACCCGAAATCTTGAGGCAACCCGATCTGCCATCAGGATAGTAAAAGCTCGGCTTGACTCGGTTTATTTTCTATAAATTACAGTAAATTTTTCTAAATTCCAGTTATCTGTGTTTTTGATTATGGGAATATGGTTCTGTCCCATTTGATTTGGATAATTGGAGGTCTATTGTAGTTCAAACCAGAGACAGACGTGTTTATTACTTCAACCACTAATATTCTAGCTGATTTCCACCCCTATGGGACAATAAATTAGACTCATCTTAGTTGCACAGATCAATGCAAAGGAAAATTGGCACTCCTGACAAGTATGAATCCGTTATTACATATCTGTGGCAAGGTGGTCAACTCCATTGGAAGATTAAAGATGTGAATTCAGAAATAAGTTTAGATGCAGAAAATGTCAATAAGTGGCTTAGGAAGAAGGCCTAACTCACTTGCACGAGGCCGGCATTGAGTAATTATCACCTTAAATAGCAGTTATCATCTTAGAGCACAGAAACCTAATCACAGAACACAATTAATACTGGGGTGAGCGTCACTTTTCCTGGCGACTATGATAAGACTGATTGAAAACTAGTGTCCTAATGGTCCATCATCTGTTTATGATTCGATACATTAAGTCTTTTTACAGACTGCTTATAGTTAGATGAGCGGAGTGAGCGAAGCTCTTATACTACACTCCTACTTTTTTTACAAATACTCCTCCTGAACGGCTGAAGGGATCAGCACAAAATTTAGCACAGACATAGTAACCAACTATGGGAAGATAAAAATCTAAAATGGTACAAATCGGACGACAGGGCTTTTCCCTACGGGAAGTTTAACTTTTAGAAATTTTACATAGGCCTTATGGGTTAATTAGTTGCTATGACAGTATTTGCAAGAAAACAATAAAAAGGTAAACAAAAGTCGTAACTTATGCATATCAATAAATCATCTAAATTAGCACATTACAAAGTATAATAGAACATAAGAGAAGAACAATCGGATTGATACCGTAGAGCATTACTTGCTACAACATGAATAACCAATAAAGCTTATGAATCATTGACTTTGGATACTACAAGTAGACATTCCAATTACAAGAACCAGACATACCATTTACTTTGGATACTGCAAATAGGGATTCCATTTATTTGAACCAAATAAACAAAATAACAAATAATGTTAATGTTAATCATATATTTGTATACTGCAATTAGACATTGCATTTGACATAAACTAGATGCAGCATTGATACTGGAAGTATACATGCCATTTACAAGAAAAAGGTACAGCATTGACTTTGATACTGCATCCGATTTATGTGAACCAAATATACTATTGAATTTTGATAGGTACTGAAAGTAGACATTCCATTTACTTGAACCAAATGTGCCATTTACTTTAGATACTGCAAGAAGACATCTCGTTTATGTGAACCAAACGTGCCATTGACTTAAGATACTGCAAGAAGACATCCCATTATCTATGTGAAACATATCCATATGTACCATTTATTTTGGATTCTGCAAGGAGACATATTTCATTAATATTAACTAGATTAACCATTGACTTTGGATACTGTAAGTAGACATCCCATTTATATATAACAGACATAGCATTAACTTTAAATAAAGTATTTGATTAATATGATTGCTCCGTTCAATATTGCAAGCAGACAACTGCATTGTACACCTAGTTTATATTCTTTGTATAAACTTCTGCTTTGATTAAGATAAGCTGGCACTGCATAGACAGGATTTACTCATTTCTCATCATGAACTAAAAACCACAATGGAAGAGTTAATAGTGGCTTTACTGCCGATAGGTTTTAATGAACACTGAAATGAAATGAAATTAATGAAATGAAATGAAAATCGTCTTTATTCTTGAGCGTTTTTCATATTACAACAACATATGTTTTTCAAAACAACTCACGTCAACACAAATAATATAAAACAAAGGCAACTTTCAAATCTCAAGTTAGGCTAATTAAAAATTAAAATATGTTCTCCATTCCTTTTTATTTTACCATTCTTCAAGCCATTTGTTATATATTTTTTAAACGACTTTTCACTGTCCAACAACCCTGGCTCAGTCCTGGATGACAATATATTCCAGATTTTAGGGGCAAAATAAGCTAATAACACTGTAACCTCAACTGAATTTAAATCAGCTTTTTATAGTTGGTTGGTTTACCCAGTCAAATCACTATCTGACCTAGACTTGGTCATAAGGTGACCGGATATGAAAGGTTCTATAGTTGTATGTATAGCAATATGGGTTTTTTGTTATGTTTACAATAAAAAAGAATTTCCTTACCTGTAAACTGTTGTTTGATCTTTCAAAATTACATTTTGTCCGTGTCTTGGTATTTTTTCTTTTTCGAATATGTTGTACTGCTCAAAGACCCGCAAGTACTGGAAATTGTATTAATAGGGCTTAAAATATGTTTAAATAAAATGAAATTTAATTCAAGGCATATCAATACAAGAAATATTCAAGTCTTAGGAGTTTATAAGATATTTAAGAAAATCACTAAGATAATAATATATTTATATTCAATAAGATATTTTGAATTGAAAATTGAATTGAAAAATCCATGTTCTTTGAAAGATACTTGGTTTACTTTATTCAATAAGATACTTTTAAAAGATAGGTACTTTAATGAGTTACACCAATAAAAGAAGGTGTAATGTTTGGCTTAATGGAATAAAACACATTGAAACTAAATAAGTTTTCATTGTGTAAGGAGACTATCTCATTTGTTCTGTAGATAGATGGACTTAAAATGTAAAAATTTTTAGAATTATTAAGTTTCAGCACTATCTCATAGTTTAAACATTTTGGTTATTTGTGAGATTCAAACTGGGGGTCTTGAGGATCGAAGATCTATGGACCAACTATCAACCCATCTTTACCCTAAGTATCCACTTGTTTGACATCACAAGATTTGAAGAAAGTTATTGACATACTTTCCATCTAACAAACCTGGCAATTGATGTCAATGTCCCAGTCTTGTTGTTAATTGGGCCTCATCATCAATGTAATACATTGTGGTATGTCATAGATTCTTTAAAAGAATGTCACAATCACAATAATTAAAACTTGTCATGTTGATAAAATTATTAAAATGGAATGAAATTGGCAAAACTGATTAAAACTGTACAAGCTGGCCAGCACTGTCTTATCACTGCCACTGACTAAATAAGACTGACTGAATCATGATGTCTCTTCATCTCTCCAGTGCCACCTGTATATCAGTTTGTTTTGTTCTTCTTATTTTATTCTTCTATGATTTGTAACTTGGTAATATATGTATCAAAGATAATATATGATTAGAAAAAGTCTGATAATTTTAAATGTTACATGGGTTGAGTTTTTTAGCTTTGTAGGTGGTGAATTCTTCATTAACCCTCCATCGGTCACACCTAATCTTTTAGATACCACAACATGAAAAATTCCTGGCATTTTTGTGTTCCAGTCCCAAAACCTGTCGTGGCCACTGTGCTGCTTCTTCCCTTTCCCTTCACACCTCAGTATCGCTGTTTGCGTCGTCTCGTGCACACATGCCTTTTTTTGCTTTGTTGTATCTTATGGATACAGTGCCACCAGTCCCGTTTTTATTTTGTGATGTATTTCAAAATAAAAACTGTACCGGTCTCCTTTTTATGTGATAAAAGAGAGATATATCTAAACTAGATAATTCTATTAAATATAGAAATAAGTAAAACTATTTTTACCCAGCAAATAAAACGTTGAGTTAAATTTTACATACAGTGTGACGGGCATGGTCACACTGTATCTAATGGATACAGGAATGTGTATAGTCTGACAAATTTTGTTTACTAATTGGGAAATGCTTAGACGGTGTGCAATATCTATGTAATCTTTGGGTCAAGAGTTGTTATAAAAAGAAAAAGAAAAATTAGGGGGAAAATAGATATCTTAAAGTACTCAAAAAAATGTTTAAGGAAAATTGTATCTGAGAGATATAGTGCGACCGGTCGCTTAAAAATTAGGTGCGATCGATGGAGGGTTAACATAAAGCTTAAAACCTTTTGTTGTGCTGGTCAGCCTGTAGAGTTTTAATCAGTTTTATAAATTTGTTATTGCATTTTAACAATTTTATCGACATGGCAAGTTTCAATTATTGTGATTGTTACAGTTTTTTAAAGAATCTATTGACACACCACAATTAATACATTGATGATGTGGTTGTATACAAAATGGCCTGATGAAGATCTAACGAACGAAACTAGTCGTCATACCACCAACTGTGGTTGGATAAGTTAAACATTTTAATTTATCAAAAATATATTCCAACCAAGGGTCACAATGAATAATAATGAGTAAAGAGAGTTTAATTAAACTTTTTTCAAGTAAAATTGAAAGCAAATTGAAATCAAGCTTTTGGGTGACAAATTGAAAGATTGCCATTAAAAATATACATACTCTGGCACTGGATCTTTTTTTGTGAACTATAATAATTCTTATTGGTATGGTAAGCTTTCATTGATAACATATATGTGGAGGGGTATTTTTTAATCCCTTTCAATTTCCTTTGCAAAATATTTGGATTTATACTTAGCCTAGTAATATTTTAACCCAAATGGAACTCCCTTTTTCAAAGACCCCTGTACCTGATTTCTTCCTTCTCTCAGTAACACACAATGGCTGACCAGTCCAGTTGAGTTAGCTATGACGACGACTGGAGGTGAACTCCGCAAGACCATGATACTGAGACTTGGCGAGTTTGGTGCAACCGACGACTGGCTTTTCTTTTCCATCTCAAATCGCATTGGCTCTTCACTGGAACATGATAATAATGTTAATTGTATATTTATTTACATTAGCAATTCGGATCCCTAACTGTAATATTGCACTATTTTTTATGTAATCAAATTACAACACTCATTAGCTATAGTGTCATCAAATATACTATATGAACTGTCAAAAGGGTAAATTTGATAAAAAATTTAATTGTTTGCTTTAGAAAATTTATGTTAATTCACTGGGAACTAGAACTTATTTTCAAAAGATCTATATTTTTCTAATATGTTTTGTATGGGTGGAACAGTTTAAAGAAGATTGAAACACATCAAGTTGATACATTGTAACAAATATGCTTAACTAAAGCTGGGTTTTCACGGAACGCAAAGAGCAGAGTGCGGAGCGAATTTCCGCTAGTACAGTGGCAGTCCGCTCCACTTCTAGAAGAAGAGTACTGGCGTTATTTGATTAGTTTGAAAATGTTAACCCAGGTCTCCAGAACTAAATATTTAAGTTCTGGCTGTATCCTATTGTACTACTGTTCTTTTCCAAATTTTTGTCGAAGACAAGTAAATGTTTTGAAAATAAACAGTCCTGACTCTTAGGGCACAGCTATATTCTGGGAACCATACCAGTCCTTCATGCACAAAGGCTAAAACTTTTGCAAACTAATCTGAATATGTAGCTATGCTACTCTAGTTTCTGTTACCTAAACACTAGCAAAACATTTTAGCCAAACCAAAGCTAACCTAAAGAAAAGTATGTGAAAACTCTAAAACTCAATTTTGCAAACTGACTGATCATTAGCTATTGACAACTGTTATAACTCTATCTACACTAAGAAATGTTACATAGATTTATATAATACTCTGATGCCAGATAACAATACAAAATGTACACAATGTATTGCTCTAAATCAAGTACAAAGCAAAACAAAGCTTATATGAAGACAACAAAACAGATTATACCTAACAAAAAATGATAAACTAAAAGTGCCTATATCAGTGTATACACAGAGAAGTAAGGTACAGAGGAATCCTGCTTACGAGATGATCATGCGCTTCCAGCTCTAGTATGTTGTGCCAGAGATATGCTTGTGACAAGTAAGGAAGAGTCCAAGTGGTAAGCATTACGCGGAATTCCTATTGCACAGGGTCTTCCACCATTGTGAGCGTTGTAGTACATTTGAGGACATTGATAGACTTTGCCTTGGACACCAGCAACTAGTGCTAGACAACACTTAAGTATACCATTGAATGTTTCCTCTGTACATTACTTCTCAGTGGTATATTAATAACCATACTGCTCACTACAACCAAAACTTTAAAGGCTGCTTTGGCCTAAGGCCCGTCAAAAAGTCAATCCAAAACAGGACTTTAAAGTGTAACCAATTGCATTAATAATTCATGAATCTGCACACTAGTTCTCTAGTTAGCACCTAAAAACTAATTTTCTCTACAGTTTAAATTTAAGATTATATAAGAAGTAGTAGTCTAACATTGATTCATTTATCTTTTTTCTCTTTTCTCTTTTTGGTTTGTTCTTAATCACATGTTCCAATGGAAAACTGCAATTTTGTTTACATTTATGTTTTTTAATACATTAATTAAGCAACTTCTTTTTGAACTTAAAGACATTTAATTTAGTATGGCAAACAAAAATTTTGCATATTTTCACAATGTTTTATTAGCATTCTCTATTTACAACAAGAATTCTAAAAGTCAGTTGACTTCTACCAAGAAACAATTAAGTATTTTATAAGTAAAGAGGTAAAAGGTTTAACACGATTAAATACATATATATTAGGAAAACCACATTCAAACACTTACCGTCTGCTTTCATTTTTACCGATGACAACATGAAACACATCTCCATTCCCTTTCAGAACCAGTACACGAGTTTCAGCTGGCTGAAAAAATTACATTATGGTAAAATTGATACCATACATATTGCTATCTACATTCACTATAATACCCATCTATATTCAATAAAATAGTTCTTTAGAGAAATACAGTATTCATGGCAAAGTGTGAAATGTTAATCAAATTTTTTTATCCAAGATTGTTTGCTCCAATGTGGGCAATGTTTGGGGGGGGGGGGGGGGGGTTGCGATAACTGCTACTATATTCAATATTAAAATTTCCAAAACACAATTATAAGTCAATGGAAGTTGTGGTAGATTGACTTTGATAGCATGGGAAGGGAAGTGCAGGATAAGGTATGTGATAGTGTTACTTATGGTGATTTTGAGAATTACAAATATAAACCCTGTTCTCAATTATGAATCAAATTCTCAAGCTTTCAGCTATTTCATCTTTTCTGCTATTTCTACGAGGTATGTATTGAAGCAAACGTTCACTCAAAACTAAAAGAGTCGTAAAAACCATTTTCAAAACAATTATACTGTACCTCAAAGCATATTTGAATACAAGAGGTTCTACAGTTTTCAGATACAGCGTTGAAAACTGTTAAATCAGGATTTAACACTTGCCACGGTAACACATTTCTTTTATTTAACTACTATAACAATTAAATGAATGGATTTTCTCATATTTTAATCTATTGTTAAATCGTTTCCGACAGCTTATAATAGAGTTCATTTTTTCTGCATGATCCTGCTCAGAAATTTAAAAAATGCATTAGTTTTTTAAAACTTGAGTCCATTAAGGTGTATGTAGACTCATTTCCATAATACTTTGTTACAATCAGAGGCTGTGTCTTTTTGATTTTCATTTCAGTTTTTCCAGGTTTATAGTTGATAGTTGATTTTAAAATTTATTTTAAATTAATACATTTATTATAAATGCTTTTAAATTTCTCCCATTGTAACTTCTTTTGATTAAAACCTTGTTGTTTGAAATACTGTTGTGGAAATAATATATGATTTGATATTTTTAAGAATAAGCGTGGAATAAATTAAGAATGGAAAATTAAAGAAATAAAATATTAACTATAATACTTAGTTTTTGTTTATTTAATGTTGTAGCGGCGTTTCATAATAATTTTATAAAACTTTTAAATATAAATGATTCAAAACCATTATATTAAATTATTATAGATTTCATTTAAACATTGAAAAAGAAACTACGATAGCAAAAAATGAATCACCCTTCAATGAATAGTCAGTTTCTTGATAAAAGACACCAATAAAGAGAGACAGTGACAGAGAGGGGGGGGGGAGTCTAGGGTAGAACAATATGCATTGCCCCCGGGCACCCACAGTGTCAAACCATCAAAAGATGTCAATTAATGTACTCATTAAACAACTTGTTATGAAGCGACGATAATAACTGGAACAAGTGAGGCATTCAATTTCTTTGTGAAGAAATAACCTCAAGATGATTTCAACAATAAACCAATTATAATTCCTAAAACTGTTGTTCCTGAAAGAGAGAGGCAATTAATTGATTCGTCGTTGTAGAATCCATTTTCTGATTTCAATGATTCCTGTGGTGAATACTTAAAGACAAATTGCCTCAAATTTTAAATACTAGATGACGCAATTTTCAGAAAGAATACTAGTTTCCAATTAACAAATATTTCAAAGTTAATCAGGAGTAAAAAATATATGAAGTTGCTATTCAAATCAGTTGTGCTTTATATACAAAACATGCACGGATTTATTCTTGAGAGAAATATTGTCGTATTTCTAAATTTAATGGTAATTTTTCTTTAAATAAAGTCTCATCTTACACATTTCTGTGACTACTTCAAAGACATATCAATCCCGGAAATCGTACTAAAACACACATTTCGTAATTCAACGTTTTATGATTAAATTATGCAAGACACTGATGGAATACCGCTGCAATTTATGCATAATTTAAAAGATAAACTCAAGATATGTATATTTTAATCAAACAAACCCCATTTTTATTCGCACCTTCATTTAATAAACCAAGATTAAATTTAAAAAAATATATGAAAAGGATTGAGGTCAACACCATTACATTATTGTAAGTGGATATATCTGGTATTTATTAAGTGTTCTATAAAATAAATAAGCTTAATTTTGAAATCGTCCAGTTCTAAAAGTTGTATTCACAATATATATATTCAATGCGTTTCTAAGCAAATTTATATAGGCTTAAACAAACGCATTATTTTAAATCATTTATCCATTTATTTCATACGTAGGCGTTCAGTCAAAAACTTTGGTTACTCATTATAGGGATTTATGACAAAGTAAATTAAATGAGCGCAAAGTTTAATGGCTCAAATTTATCAAGAATCTATCAGGGTGGGAAGTTTGAAAGAGGGTAAACGGTTAAAGGCTTCTTTCCCGAGTCTTTTTCAATCAATTAGCTCCTTTAAATATGAAACAATGTTTCAAAGACAAAAATTTGCACGTCTCAAAATCGCAAAGTTATCTGTTTCACCCCTTATCCAAATCTTACTTTTGTATATTTCTCATTCCCTCCGAAGTTAAACTCAACAAAAGTCAACTGGTTTAAAAGGAAGTTAAACTTTATTAATGAGGTGTAGAAATAATAAATTGGACATGAGGCCGATCATCTCGTGATTTCTCTGAGATAAAACTCGATGGTTCCTTTACCTGATTGGGTGGAAATAAGGATTTTAATGTTAGCTTCGAATCATAGTTTTTATGTGTAGAACTACGGACAAATAGCTTGCCTAAAGTATGTAGTGGTATTCGTTCAACCTTAAAATAATACCGTAGCATACACATGGTTGGTTTATAGCCGCCAAATATATAAGTAAGGTTTAAATTGAAATTTTTGGAGTTTTAAGTGCGAAAATTTACGATGTACTCAAGATTGTTTAGGATATGGCCTAATAATGACTGGTGAGACTAAAATTCTAAGTCAATCAGGCAATTAGGTAAAAATGGATTTTACAGAAAAACCCCTTTAGTAGGCCTATATGGATACGGTACTTTATGAGGGCGGAAGACATATTTTATTATATTGGAGTAATCACTAGACGTATCATGCTATTTATGAACTTATTTGGTTTTAAATTAAATACCCTCGCCACAGCAAACATGCAGACTAAGCGAATTTCCATTTGTCTGAATTGATTTTCAATTAAATGTATTTAAATAACGTTAGGTTTAACGAGTACCTAGGTTTGCTTCTACAAGAAAACTAATAAAGTGTGTTTTTGGTAAAATATTAATAGCTTATTATAAAATAAATAAATTTGCCAAGTTTGATCAAAATATATCTATAAACAAGTAAACTACAACATTTTACGGCATTCTCCCTAAGAATAACATGGGAATTTTATATTTAAAATTTTTTTGAATTTTCTCTGTTACCAATAACCATACAAAAACACATTGATATACTAAATTGTTTGTTTTTTAAAGCTCTTTAAAAAAGTTTAGAGAGAAATTGGAAAACTTAGTGTTTTGAGGGTCAAAATGAGAAAAACTAATTTTTACCCCGTAAAACCCCGTTCCCATGGTTCGATCATGCTGGTTCGCGAACTCATTTACGTTTATCCCGCCTCACACCTTTAAACCAAATTTCATCAAAATCAGACAAAAATTACTTAAGTTATCGTGTTCACGGACACATATACATATATAAAACATTGAACGAATGGTGTTTTTGGCCCCTGGGATCAAAATGAAAACGTAAATCGGTCCTGGGCATAGGTCTTACCATGCCAGCTACGGTAATAGCTACTTCCCTATAATGAAATTCGCTAAAAGTGCAAAATTTACAAATAGAAAAATAATTCTGAAAGGTTTATACTGTCTTATAAGTAAACAAGCCATTTATTGGGCTAGAAAATAATAACTGAAATAATATAATAGAAATAATATAATATAGAATAATATTAATATTGAATATAATTGGTGTTTTTATAACTTGCATTAGGCAAGTCAATAAAAAAAATTAAAAATAGTTCATCTTAATGGAACAACATTTATTACTATAAATAACTATAGTTCTCTTGAATTGAATACAATATTGTGCAAACCCCTTGAAAAAAATTACCTTTAGAAGTGTGTCGTAGTAATATTTGTATTACAAACAAAACAATGAAATATATAATTTATAATTGAAATACTAGGTTAATATAGTTGTATAGTTGTTTACTATTATTAATGTTTAAGCTCAAAGATAATGTTGTTGAAAACTAAATATGTGCTACAAAAACTAAGTATTTTATCTCTCACTCTATTTTGAATGACATTATTTAATGTTCAAGACTAGGGGGTCTGCATAAATTAATAATAATATACATTACACTAACTACAACCGCTGTTTTGTACTAAATGTTCGAATAACTCCATCATCCCTTCTTTGAATAACGTTTATAGCGAAATGAATACTTTAATACAAGCACTTATAAATAGCTAATTTCAGTGCGGCCATACTTTTCAAGAGCAACAATTACTATTTGCGTTCGTAACACACAAGATTTTCCTACCACCATAATTAACTTATCATAAAACACAGATTGCCTTTTTAGTTGGATGGAAAATTTTATTTAGGATATGTTTGCGTTTGCCTTTTTAAGGTTATGTTATTTGCTTAACGTTGTTAACGTACCTGATCCTCGTCTGCGATTGGTGTAGAACACTATCTGTGAAATCAACTGATTTAGCGTGCGGGAATGATTTATCCAAGAGCGTAAATGAGCTATTTTGCGTAGTGTTTACATGTGTAGAAATGTGATAATGTGATCATCATGCAGTGCGCAGGAAAATTATCTTAACAAAACCAAATTTTGGAATAGTACCTTTTCTATAGGTAGAGAAAAATCAAAATCCTTAGCGTTTTCCTCCAGGGGGATGACAGTGGAGAGAGCGCTGTAGGGATGTCTACCCAGAGAAAGTGTCAGTTGTAGGGAGTTGTTCTCGGCGTTGAGAACACGGAGGTAGTTATCATTGTACAGAGCCAACAGAATGTTGTATTGCCTTGGATGCCATCTTGCCTGCAGAACTTCGTACGTGAACATGGAGGACATCCGTTCTACCTCTGGGGCCACTAGCCATACCCTGTAACATCACCAGTAATACATTAACGAAGAAACTCCTATCGAATTACCAAGAACAGTGTTTTCAAAACTATGGGTGGGGCAATTTGCGTGGGTTGCGGGAAAATACCACATACTGAACACTTGACATTTTCTATTGGTTTATAAGTCTGCCTATCCAACCCTTATCCATATGTGGTTTTTATCATAATAGTCGACCAAGTAGTGAGGGGCTGTATATAGTAGTACTTTTGGCGGAATTTTAAAGATTTATGTTTGTTTTCTGGATGGGAAACTAATATTTCGATCAGGGAAGAAGCCTGAACATTTGGGGAGAGGATCATGATGTCCCAAGTGACCTTTACAAGCGTCTTTCTTAAGTAGACTATTTACAAGATAGTAAAAAGTAACAATGAACGGCAATTATAATTACATTTAATTGTTAACGTTATTTAGCTCAGGTGCCGAAAAAACTGTAAGGTGCAAAAAATTCCGGGAACCGCTGAGCTAGAACCATGATTTTTTTAGGGGGAGGGGGAGGTTCACGGGACCACCAAAACTGGATAGCTACTAATTTAAGGACGGCCACAATAAACTTTTCCGGGGAAACAAAAAGGTATTTAACCCCTAAGGCTCATGCCAAGACCAATCGTTACAAATTACGTTTAAGTATTATGATGGCTGTCCAAAACCGGAATTGTCTTTAAAACCCGTTTGCAATACCCTTTCCCTATCTTTTTGAAGCTTTATGAGTAATCAAACAACATATAAAATTAAAAACTAATGTAAAAATGAGAAGCACATTTGTTAACATTTATTTCGGAAAATAATGTTACTGCACAAATATTCGTTTTGCGATAAATCAGTTATGACTTAAATCGAAACTACTTACCACTTAAGAAGTTATTGTAAATGCATTGATATTGTTTTCTGCAAACTAATGTTGTTTGGCAATGTTTAATCGATGATTACATGAAAATTCATAATTGCATTAAAACTATCGAGCTTTGAAAACCCCTTCTATGTTAGGTGAATTTTCAAATTAATCTCCGTTTCTTCAGGTACCCTAGTACCAATAACATTAAAATGGGAGACTTCACATCCGACAGGAAGAGTGGAGTTGTATAGAGCAAGAGGTAGTTAGATATGGAACCTCTTCAAACCTTCAAGGGTTTGTGAAGTTTCTACCTAGCAACCCACCATCATACCAGTGGCATATGTTGAGCGCTGGTAACTAAACAAGCATGATGAACCTTGATGTCCCTACCTACAGGAATCAACCAGAGTGTATGTAATCCTCCACAAAGATACTATAAGCAGGAATGCAGGTACAAAGGGAAAACTAAATAGCCGAAGTATTTACTCATTTTGAAACAGTTTACATATTCAGATACATTATCTAAATGTTTGGATTAATAATCCCTAAAGAAGTTTAGGAGCATTTCCCAAGGCTTTTTAGGTTGTTATTTAACGCATACGTTAGTATCATAAGGCATATTTTAACAATAACAGAAACCTTCACGATTCTCACGGTCACTCAAAACATCAATCGAAACACTTTGTTAACCTTGTGACAATAATGGGAAGAACGTATTGCGCCACTGTGAGGCATCTTCAGGGAGATTGTAGAGATGTTTTCTGACATAATATACGCTATATACACACGCGGCACCTCCGTGCTGAGGGTCGCGGGAGCAGATGCCCGCGGTGGACTGAAATGCCGCACTGTCTTTGAAATTCACTGACTTACTGAAATCAATTTTCACCAATTAAAAGTAGTTTGCAGTAGTGATTTTAATTAAATTCACTTACTTTCACTGTGGTAAAATATATAGAAGATAGCAACGAATTCTGCAAGAACAAAGGCAACTAAAACAAGCTAACTTAAATAGTTTAAATTCATACTTCTTGCCACAGGAGAAATAAAAAAACAACTTTACGCAATTTAGAAAAAAAAACAATCTAATCACCTGAAGCAACAAAAACGTCAATTCATTACAGAAAGGAAAGCACTAAACGTGTAAGTTGTTTAAGTCACGACGAACAATTGTTATACAAATTTAAATGAGAATAGTAGGAAGGGATCGGGGAAAGGAGGAAAGAAGGAAATCACTTTATTTAACATTGATAAATTGGCTATAAGGCCGGTGTATAAACGAAGCCCTGTGTGAAGCAAGTATAATTCACCCATTAAATGTGGTCTGTTCATGGATGTGCTACCATTGTTCCCTATCCAACTGCCGTTCTGTTCACAGTATTTATTCCTTCTTCTTCTCCTTCCACGGACGCGGCCCCATACAGCAATCCAGTTTTCATTTCACACCGATTTCACGGTCGGGAAAATTTTATTCATAAATTATTCTTTCATTCGAGAAAACCGGGTCTTTAGAAATAACCTCGAGTAAATCACTTTTATTTCTTCGGTGTATCCTTTGTTTAAAATCCTTAGACTTTAGTTTCATCTGTAAAGATATGTTAAAGCTACGACTTACGTTATTTATACGGGTTATTGATTAGAGTTTGTGTTACTTTGCATTCATACATAGCTGATAAACATAGCAAGAGGTTATAATTTATTCAATTTTCGTGTTAGCTTCATGATTTCTGGGTTTTCTTAAAACGTTTATGATAAGTATCATATAAACAAATAATAATTTTATTAAAACTCACCTAATTGAATTTGTTGTGTACAGTGTCAACTATTCCACAAAATACTCGTTGATGTCTGCGTCCTGGATTGGTGCAATGGATTTGATATAGATTACATAAATTATACATACACGCTCACATCTTTATTACGACGACATTTCTCTTTGAATATTTGAATAGTCTTATGGTTCAAAATAGGGAAATCATGCTTTTGAACCATTTACATAGAAATACTGTTGGATTGACGAGAACAAAATAATATGTTTATGACAAGTTATTAACATATTTTTATTTCAAAACAGATACATTAAACATCATCTCAAAACTAAATAAACAATATAAATACTTAGATGTGTTTCTGATCAATTTAATTTTAAACCAAGCTTTACAAACACAACACACAAATCTCCGAATAAAAAATGACTGCAACAGTTGAATCGAGTGGTCATCCCACCTACAAAGCCACGATTAAACTCGTTAAAATTGAAATGCAGTATTTGAAAAGAAAAGCGATGGGAATACAAACGAGCGAAGTACAATGTGTATTGTAGCAATGGAAGAAAATAAAACAAACAGAGGATATGTGGAGAGGTTCCCCATAGTATTATCAGAAAGCGGTTGTGCCGCCAAGGTAATTCCGACAAGCGGCACCACGGGACTGGGGCAGTAAAAATGTAAACAGATGCAGAAAACCAAGTCACTCATGTGAGAGGGGTGTCCCGGGACTTAATGTACAACTGTCGACAATAATAAGCAATCTCGGACGTTGGCGCGAGTGAGGGTGCTTACCGATCCAACAGTTGGAGCGTTGATTATACACCTCTCAAGGCAGCAACCCTGCGTAATTCTATCAATATGGATTATCTGTCCTAATTATAGCCCAGCCAGCGTTTACGAGCTACATACAATGAAGAAGCAAAACATCATAAATTGTACTCTAGGCCTTAATTCACTAAATATATAGACAATAACCAAGTCCTATATTGATTTCCATGGTGAACAACCTGTGTTTGGGGGACTGAGTGGTAAAAGTTTGCCGGTTCGATCATGAGAAAAGCCAGTAATTTTAGATGGCTCAAAAAAGCTCTGATCATCGATAGTCATTGTTGTTTTAAAAATTGGTCCTGGCTAAAGAAACTGCTGATCTTATTCAGTTTCAAAGGAACACAGATACCACTGCATTCTACACCTACCCTACATTTATATCCAGTTTAAAATACATACCTGTAGATTTGTATTGTTGTCTTAAAAAACAAAGTTAATTAATACGTTTGTTTATTCAATAGTTACGTTTTTATTGACACTTACAAAAAAAATGAAATTTATAAAGATAATTATTCGTAACGATACTTTATGTTCAATACATCCTTTTGCTACGTTTTTGGTGTATAAAATAACAAAATCGACGATTAAATAGTTAGTTTTGTAAAATATAAGATCGTATAGTATTCAAAAGCACCTATTTGTAAGTCAAGTTCACTAAATCAATTTTTAATAGGCCTAAGTCATGATCATTTTCTCCAGTTTGAGATAGAGTGTTCTAGTTTAAATTATTTCAGTTAAAATCTTTTCATTCATTAAAAGTTTAATAAAAGTGTTGAGCAACAATACAAAGTTTAAAAATAGCAAAAACACATATTCAGAAAACAACTGTAACAATAGAAACATTTGTATACACTATAAAATTTGTATTAACAAGAACATAGATAGAACCCTGTTTATTTCTCACAGTTTATAAATAGTAAAAATGTACTTTTCTAGTTTCCGGATCCAAAGATAATGTATTAACCCTCACCTGTTTGATCAAATATGCCAAAAAACTAATAATAGGTTATTCCTTCAATGGTAAGTTAAATAGATATACAAAAATGCTTAACAAATAAAAAATTAGGGTTCGGAATTTTTTCACTGAGTAAGCTAAGGTATTAACAAAATAGATTCCTTATTATTTAAAGGATACAAGGTTTTATAGCCAATCTACACACTTACGAAACATTCGCTTTAGCTTCTGCCTTAAAGAGGGTATTCATCAAGACATAACACATTTTAACAGATTCATCAAGTCATTACACATTTGAGCAAATCAAAATCAGATGAATAAATTTAGTATTTTTCTCACTCCTTACATAACCATTAACAGCAAAAAGTATTTACTCGTAGAAAAAAAAAACAAAAAAAATATTCATTATCCTGTATAGGTCGTTAATTCTACATGAATATTTTACCAAAAGGTGAAATTAGTAAAACTATGATAAATGTTTACCTAATCATGAAATAAACGGATATACTTATTTTAAAAACAAAATATATCAAAAGAATAGCACTTGAGTTTCTAAGTATAAAGATAATAAT